GCTCTGATATCCATAGTGTATCTACAGACCGATGTCAAATCCTTGAACTGTGATGCCGATAACTTCGTGTTGGGATTGTGTATCAACTTGTAAAAGTCTTCATCCATACTCGGGAATTCCTGAAGTGTAGCCTTGTGCGTCCTATATAACTTCTGTTTCATAGGTGAGTGAGTGAGTGAGTGAGTTGGGTTTAATGCCGCTTTTAACAGTATTCCAGTTATATTTGTGGCGCCGTTTCATAGGTGGTAAAGATAGACGTTCATCATGCTTGAGCCTATGAATGTTATCAGTCAACTGATCAACAAGCTTGCCAGCATAACTGGTCTAAGGTAATGTCTGATAAATATGCTGAAACGATGTAGGAGCATGACATCCCCTGTATACAGGCATCTGGAGTGGTGAACTTTCTGTCACATGCAGCTTAAGCATAGGCATAAGATGATAGAGTTCATCAATTAGTTCCACGAAGGTATAGCCTTCGGTGTAATTTCGTTGAGATGAGTTATGAGCTTGATCGTCAAAACCCTCTGTGGTCTTTGGTATCTCCCATGGTGGGTGGGTAATCGTAGCACTCCGCATCTACCCTGTAGGTTTCGTCATCTCCAGCAGCACTATTAATTTATACTGTTATTATAGAAAACTTATTAGCATAATCACAGGTTAATGTGACTTACTGCCAAGTGCTAGATTGTTACTACTAATATAGTAGCTGTTAACACTAGCACACACAGGAAAAAAGTGATGTTGCCACCATTATGACGTCATGGCTTGGGTTGATACGAGACTACATGGGGACAACTGATTGTAGGATTGACAGTGAAGAGGACGTCTGTTGAAAGTCTGATAAGTTTTAGTTAGTGTGATTGAAGCCAAAAAAACAGGATTTATGGCAGATATGTAATAGTGGTAGAAGTTTCGTAAGAATTTAGGAGAGAGAAGAGAGAAATAAACGTCAGGTAAATGACACACTGATAAAAATAAACGCTGTGAACTTACACACTACTTCAAGAGAAATAAATGCTGGGTAAATGAGTGAGTGCGTTATTTCATCAATATCACGGCGGGGGACGCAGAAATGGGCTTCACACATTGTACCCAAATGGGGAATCGGACCCAGGTCCTCAGTGTAACGCTTTAATCACTAGGCTACCCTACCACCCCTGGGTAAATGACAAACCAAGAGAAATAATAGCTTGGTAACTGTTACACCACTTAAAGAGAAAAAAAACTCAGAGTAACTGACATGCCAGAGAAACATAAATATTTTCAAGTCACTGAGACACAGAGACATAAAAAGAGAGAAATAAACACTGTGTTAACTGACACACCACTTCAAGAAAAATACACGCTGGATAAATGACACACCGAGAGAAATTAACGCCTGGTGCATGACATACTGAGAGAAGCCGAGCGCTGGGTAACTGACACACCACTTCAAAAGAAATAAACGCCAGGTAAATGACACCGCCACACCGAGATAAATATTTTTTGGGTAACTGAGACACTGAGAGAAAAACAGTGAGAAATAAATGTTGGGTGAACTGACACACCACACTGAGGGAAGTAAACACTGGGTTAATTGACACATATCAAGAGAAATAATGTTTGGTAAACGACACAAAGAGCGAAATAAACACTGTATACTGACACATCAGACCAAGTAAATGAGACATGGTGAGAAAAACCTAAAAAATAATCACTTGGTTAACTGACACACCACATCGAGTGAAATAAACTCTGGGTCAACTGGTGCATCTAATGGAAATAATTGATGGGTGAACTGATGCACATCGAGAGAAATAATTGTCAGGTAAACTGATACACCACATTGAGAGAAATAAACGCTATGTTAACTGATAAACCACATGGAGAGAAATAAACACTGGTTGAACTGACTTCCTGAAAGAAAAAAAACAACCCATGTATGTGACTCACCAAACCTAGAGAAATAATTAACAGGTAACTGAGACAACAAGAGAAATACTGAGATAAACGATAAATAGGGATATAAACGCTTGGTAAGTGGCCAACCAAGTGATATAAAAGCTTACCGGTACTTAGTGACACATCAAGAGATATAAAAGCTTGGTAAGTGACGAAAAAGTGATGTTAGATGTATAATTTAAAAAAACATAAATAATCAACATATGGTAATCGATTGTTCAAAATTGTGCCATATGGCACACATGGAACAGTAGATTTTCAAGGTGAAGGTCATCTGTTCTCAATATCTTGTATGGTGACCATCAGAGTCCAAAACTGACTGGCATCATCGTCCCAATGAAGCAATCAGATCCCGAATTGTGGTCTGGGGAATGTTTACCCACTCTGCCTGCAATGCTTGTGCTGTCTGTCAGAGGTTCTGTAGTTGTTGCTGATGTGCTCGCAGTCGTTGATCCAGTGCATCCCATAAATGTTTGATCGGTTTTAAATCTGGAGACCTGGAGGGCAGTGGCAGGACCTGGATGCTGTGATTCCTGAAAAAGGCTGTTGTTAGTCTTGCGAGGTCAGGCGTTATCTCGTTGGAGAATGACGTTTGCTTGTTGCATCATGGGAAGGACATGTGGCCGTAGAATCTCTTCCGGGTAATGTTGTGCCTTTAAATTATCCAGAACTTGCACCAAGTATGTTCTACCAGTGTAGGAGATAGCTACCATTACCAAATTTGTCAACTTCCTGTATGCAGTTTTGTGCATAACTTTCCCTGTGACATCTACTACCCACATGGAGAAGCATAAAATGTGACTCGTCACTGAACCAAACTTGAACCTGAACCTTGACACCATTGATGCAGGTCAGTCAAAATGAAAGGAAGTTTGTCATTTTTTTAAGATTTTTTGTTTGGTGATACTTTTGATTTCAGACTTAGAGATTGGTAGGTTAAGGCTTATATTTGGGATTTTTAGGGCTAGTTTAGCTGCTTCGTCTGCTTGTTCGTTGCCGAAAATACCTACATGGGCAGGGATCCAAAGAAACTGTATGTTTTTCCCAGCTTTAGTTAGGTCGCTTTTGCTTTTAAGTATTTGGTTAATTAATTTTGGGCGTTTTTTAATGTTTATATTTTGGAGTGCCTGGAGACCACTGAGGGAGTCTGTTAGGATGAGGATGTTTTGATGGTTTTTAGTTTGTTGGCTGTGGAGGGCTGTGGCCATGCCCATAAGTTCAGCTGTAAATATGGACTGGGAGTCGGTATGATTTGGTTTGCTTGTTTGGTTGTGAGGCATGTACTCCGAAACCTGTGTGTTTGGAGATCGGATCTGAAGATCCGTCTGTGTAGATGTGGCACCAATTTGGCCAAGTCTTGTGAATGTATGCGAAAGAGGTGGTTTTGGCTATGTTGGGGTCTGTTTGCTTGTTTAGTATGTTGGATAGTGATGTATCTATCTTTGGTATTTGGAGTTTAGGGGTGAAGGCGTTTGAGGGTTTGGGTTTTGTTTATGATTATTGAGTTGGTGCTCTTTTAGATAATGAGTAACTCTTTGTGAGATTGGGGTGAGGAGGGGGTATTGTTTTGTTAATGTTTGGGTTTTTAGGGCTGATGTTGCTTTTTAGGGTGTTTTCGATTAGAGGATTTGATTAGGACGCTGCCCAGAAGTTTAGGGTAAGTTGCTCCCTACTTAATTCTAGTGGGATTTCTCCTGTTAGAGCCTGGAGTGATGTGAGAGAGGTACCTTGTTGAGTTCGGGTGATGAGTTCAAGGGTCTGATATTGGATGGAGTTTAGTTTCTTATTTAGCCAATTGTTTAGGGTGTTGTAAATGGGTTCTAACACCGTTATCAAGCAAGTGATATACAGGGTGTGGTTGACAAGTATATATTTAGGTAGGAGGCACTGTTTATACAGTAGAGTAGATATTGTTATACTGGAGTAGAGAAGCCTGTTATGTATACACAAGGGTAGTGATGACAATCATCTGTGAAGTCAGTGACATAAACAAAGGATGAAGCCAGTAATATAATCAACAGAGTTATGACTGATTTGAGTATTTGATGGTATGCCGGGGGCATGTAATAGCCTTGGTCACGGTTGATTGACGGCTGGAGTCTTGATGTTGATGGCTTCTTGTAGTTTCCCGATTTTGATGATGGATGAGTATGGTTTTACGCTGCTTTTAGCAATATTCCAGCAATATCACGGTGGGGGACACCAGAAATGGGCTTCACACTCCTGATTTTGAAGTCTTTGAGGTTGGTGGTGAGGGCTGTGACTCTCTCCCACTGAATGCTGTGGCTTGGGTTGTCACGGATGTGGTCTGATAGAGCTGATTTAGAGTCATCTTTGGAGACTGAGCTTTGATGTTCTTTTATTCAAGTTTTGAGGGGCCTAGATGCTTCTCCAATGTAAGCTTGTCCACAATTGCACAGAATGTGCTCCTGATGGTTCTAGCTTCTGGCTGGATGGTGGTTTCCCTATGGCTTTAACTGTGTTCTGAACGGTATGACTTCCCTTGAAAACTACATCAATGTTGGCCTGTTACTTTAAGAGTCTCTGGATTTTGTGGCTAACTGTTCCAAAAAAGGTGAGGCTGATCACAAAGGGTGCAGACTGTTGACATGGGTATTTCTGAGATTTCTTTGGGATGTTCTGTATCATCTGTTGTACTAGTTGCTCAGGATAGAGGTTATGCTATGTAAATACTTTAAAAAAAAAAGAAAGAGTGTTATTCCTCCTCATCAGACATTAATTGTGCTGAAACCCAATCCTAGTAAGCCTCTTTTAATAAGCATGGAGTTCTCTCACACAATAACCCTCAGATACGTTTTTGAGAACTGATACGCATTAGAACCCATGTCCAATGTAGTAAAGCTTTATGACATCTGGAAGAACCTAAACAACTATGCTATGAAATGTGGTCATTCTGGAACGTGTGGTGACATATTTGTATAAAGACAGATGACTTGATATTTAAAAGATGTCCTAGGATTACTCTTGATCCACCCTGAGACTTATAATAATGATCTCATGTCAGGCTTTACATGAACATTTCAACAAACACTAAGTTTGGTAAAACTTCAAACTTTATTTCCCATTTGAGAATGTGTGGCACAACTGTAATTAACAAGAGAACAGGGAACTGAGATTCTGCCATAAAGGCAGCCAAACTGCAAGTCCTTAGAGTTCATGATTGGCTGGTCATTCACCCATGTTCACCTAGCCTCTCTACCATTACTGTAATAATTTAAGATGTTACAACTTACTGGCAGGACATTATATTTCAAAGTCATATGAAATTATTTTTCAAGAGGCTGAATGTCCCACAGTTGGAATAAAGATGTATGTTGGGATGTATGGACAAATGAGGGAGATAATGTGAAGGCTGGTGCATTTTGGTTTGACCAAACATTCATGGACAGGTTTGCTCAACCTTTGAGTAACACCACTCACAGATTTCTTCATTGAAATGACAGAGCTGCAAATTGAATGTAAATCATCAGGTAGCTCATCTGAACAAATCATAGACACCTGAATCAGAACAAAACCCTTCTTCTACAGGTGACGTTGTGGTCACCAAATATTGTTTTACATACATCGGAAATGGGAAAGCTTCCTTGGTATAGTATTGTTACAGATAAAATAAAACATATGAAATACAGGCATGATCAAAGTAAAAAAAGGTAAAACAAACATGTATTGTAAATACATATAACCAGGACAAGTACCGGTATTCTTCCAAAAGTAGTCAAGCAGATGTACACATCAGTGCAAGCATAATGGTAAATGGTAAATTTCTTGCTAAAAGGACTCTAGGTGAGCTTAAAATCAGGATCTTACATTTATCATTTATTCAAACAGTTATTTAACAGTTATTCAAAGGTTGAGCAGTTTTTTGAAAATAGTCAAAACAGTGTATCTTTTAACGAAACAAATGTCTTCACATCTTATTGCTCAGTGAAAGTTAAGTTGTCTTCTCCACAAGTAAGATCAACTTCGAGCTAGGAATGATAGAAGACCATCTCTAGAGTAAGAAAATAGCACACATTATTTACAGGTAGTAATCCGTTAATGAAGATGATAACAGTCAACAATATGTACACTGGATGGTACAAAGTGTCAGTCTGTCTACAGATTGACACCGACTGTATAAGAGGGGGAGCTTCCCTTAAAGGTCAGGTGGCAAACAAAGCACAAAATCAATTCTGACTAAAGTAGTAAATCCTACATTACAGACATTTCATAGGAACCAAAGACATCTATTCTTTATATATTATAGAACACCTTTTCATAGCCTTTGTCTGCTGATGACTATACCAGTCCTTGACTATTTGGCATTGGCTAGGTCACAAGATGTTTCTATGGTAATCAAAGTATTCAGTGTGTTTTGTTGCACAGACGTTAAGTCTCCCCCTACTCATATTTCTACTTCGTAAGTTATCCTTACAAACAAGTCATCAAGAATCTGTGGAATCGGAAACAATAGAGCATGACTATAATCTCATTTATCTTAAAAATTGAGAAACTTGCATATGTCTAGTCTCTTTAAGGCCAACTTCAACTTGTCTATTACTTGGATCACATATTTGCTTAGACTAATTCTTAAAATGTGCAGAAAGGAAAACAACAGTTAATGTATTCACTGCTGGTCTCAAGCCTCTTGTACAACACTGTTTGAAGTTGTCCTCCAACTTCATGGTCCATCAGACCCAAGTAACAGACAAACACTGGCCTAAGTCTGTAACTAAAGTAATGTATTCTATGTGACAAAAAGTAGACTATCAGTTGTAATCATAAGACTGTCACAAAATATCTTATATATACATACATACATACAAAAAAACACCTGAATGTCAATTCTAAGGAACATTGCCCTTACAAGATCAAAACAAATATTACCTAAGCATCAGATTGAATCACTTCTTCAGGTGCTTAACTATTCCTCCAGCAATATGAAATATCAAAACATGTTCTACAGACTTAGCTTGTCAGGTATTTTACACCCCAAAAAGCATACACAATACCATCCAACTATGCAGAAACTACTAAATACTCTTATACTCTTGTGTGTAGTAAGTAACAAATAAGACATGCTGTACAATACAGAAAAGAACAAACTCCGCTATCTATGCCAACTTGAGTATTTCAAACAGAATAAATACATTGCAGTGATGCACAAGCATGCAAAATACTGGCTAACATTGGCACTGTGACAAAAAAACAAAAATCAAAATTTTACTAAAAATACAAATGAAGCAGTAATGGTGAAAATGTACTTTCCTCACACCCTGTAGTCAAAGCTACACAGTTGACAGTAGCAGAGATTTGTTTTATTAACAATGAAACTGTTCATACTGGATTTATCTAGTACATGTATGACATTTTAGACCTTAATGTTTGATACATCTTGGAAGACGATTATAGTCTGTAAAAAATCCAAAATCTGAATTCCAAATTCAGGTTTTCTGAATGACTAAGCATGACTTCTATTAATAAAAAAAGTAATAAAATACTTCTGTTGTCAATGAAAGGCTTTCATGCTTTATACTTTTACGTTATTGCTCTGAACGCAATGTTAAAATACCTCTGAATATAAGAAAGTTATAACTTTTCAAACACTCCAAATATTGGTCAAAAAGACACCCTTTCTCAAATTGCCTGCCACAGGCACTTTGTCTGAAATCCTGGAAAAAACTGTGGTGGATGATGACAGCTGTACGTGTTACACTACTGAGAAATGAAGTCAGCAAATGAAGTACACAAACCTGAACACAACCTAGGACATAATGGGTGTATACACTCAACAGGTAATGTAGTTATCACAGATTGATAATGCTTGGACTGAGGCACCGGTCTGCTGGACCGTGCCAGACACCTTGTCTGTACCAGGGGCATGGTGGTGGGTTATACTTCACAGAGTGACAACCTGGGAGAGGATTTGGGGGATGACTGCCAAGTCAGGGGGATGGAAGGATTAGATAAAAAAAAAATCACACCAGGATATCACATGACATAGACAAATTAGACGCAGTGCTGATTGGTATGAAATGTTCATTCGCCAGTAACCAAAGGGGATGGTGAAATGAGTTATGAATACAAACATAAATAGAAAAATCTGCTTTCATCTCCAAGCTACTCAATTGAATTTAGAGAAAAAGCATGCTCTCTGTTTGCACTGTGAAACTTGTAGTGCCTGTCACTGAAAAGAACCTTCTTGTATAGTAACTAACGAAATAAAGTTTCACAATTTGTTTAGGTTTGAACTCAAAAGATACTACAAACTTCAAATGTAAATTTTTACAAATATGGCATGCCACATTAATGAGATCATGGAAACAATGAAAAATGAATTAACGCTTTTATATTCAAAATTCATACCAAGTATGTCTTTGGCAAAATAGGAATAGAAAATAAATATTTACACATATATATATAAAAAAAGTTCACCAATGTCAGCAAGATTAACTTAGTTCTATACAATATCCAATATCAATGCCTGTATACCTGGTATCAATGTACAGATAATTAATGAATACTCTCTACATGATCGTGATGACAGGTGTGTGTGTGTGTGTGTGTGTGTGTGTGGGGGGGGGGGGGGGACGCCTATATACATGACAAAATACTCTCTGGTCCATGTATACTAAGCTGATTTACTCTTTATACCTGTAGATTTAAATCCCTAAATCACATAATCTCATCAAAACAAGAAACACTGTACAATACAAATCAAATTACAACTTACAATGAATACGACAAACGCCAACATTAACCAAATACTTTAAACTGGCAAGAGAGGTGAATAGTTACCAACCTCTAGCATATATAGGACTGACTGAAACACCCTGGTGTTGGCATACCTATGATGCAGTACACCTATCCACATACACACTGTTTACAAACAGGGATGGTGACTATTCTGTAGCATCTGCTGCACGAATGCACAGTGCGCCTTCACTTCATCTCAATGTCAAAGCTGTCCTAGTCATTAACAACAACAATAGATAGCTTGTGAAACAATACAATCTCCCTGGGTGGGTCTGTTGCCATATAATAAGAATTAATCTGCTTATCACACATGCATACATCCACTCATAGCTCTGCCAATTACATCAGCCATCAGAGAGGAAAATATTATTTATGGAATGTCTACCCTCCACTACATGAAAGACACACTTCAATAGTAAGGTTTTAAGCTTGAGTTCAGTGGCAATGCACTCAAGGAAATCTTGGACAACAACAACGTTTTAATAAGTAATCCATGTGTGACAGATGGGGTGTGTATCTTGTGTGTAATGCTGCCCCAGGGTGTAGTTCTTCATCAAACATTCTAGAACTGTAGATTGATTTTATTGTATGCCTGCAGGCTTGACAGTATGATGTATCCAATCCACAGGATTAATAGAAAAATACTTGTCATCCACTTGACTCCAGAAGTGCGGCCACCCAGTTCTCCACCAAACAACTGTAAAAGTATCACCGCAATACAAATTTATAAAAATTCTAAAAGCATTTTTAAGTCATATGGATATCTGCCAATAAACAAGTTAGTTTGAAACAGGCTGACTATGATAAATTAACTGGATCTTGCACTTGGCTTACCAAGGCAATGTTGGTAGTTGTAAACAAATGTTGCGTATCATTAAGCACAACTGTTGCTTATATGCATTGTAAAGATGATGGCAATTGGAAGTACTGTTCTTCATTGCTTGCTATTTAACAAGAGGCCCACAGGGCCTTATCGCTCACTTGGACATTTACGCAATCATGACAAACTATACATTTGCATTGTACATGTACATAATACCGCAAATATTTCGTAATTTTGACTCTGTCAGCATTTTAAATAGGTGGATGGCAAATCTGACAGCATGAACATGTATTTCTCTAGATACAAATACATACTCATAAACACATGCTTACACTAAAATCAAACAATGTAATATGATTTTAGTACAGATTGCTTATGATTGTTTCTTCAATTGTCATGTTAACAGTTGCTTGTATGCACAACAGATGACATGCATGTAATCTCTACTTGTCTATGATAACTAGGGCTATTCATGATAACTAAAGGAGTCAGCAGGGACACTTGATCAACTTACCTTTCTCCGGAGTAGTAGCAGTAGTATACAAATTGTGCCACATACTCCAAAGATGATGACGCTCTGAGTAAGGTTGGTGCTTTTCACGTGATATGATTTCTGATGGTACAATGCATACATGGTGCTGAGTACCCACGGAAGCCCAAGACCCAGGAACACGTTGACACTGTTACTGCCTGCACACATATACAAGAAGATTGTTAAGTTCAACTTGAATAGAAATGAAAAGAAAAACTTAATTAACCAACTCTTGGTGGGCACTTTCAGTTCAAATAAGCCTCTTTAGGACATAAATAACAGATAATATAATTGCAGTGTATGATGTCATAATGTAACAGAAGAAGAGTCATCAGGAGATGACATCTCCCCCTTATCTGGTGTAATTTAGAAATCAAACAATAGTTATCATTGTGTATAATTCTAAGAATACATCATCCATTACATCATTTAAATAAATTCCTGTTTTGGCTGTCAATCACACTATAAATTTATTTAAATTTTCAACAGACGTCCTCTTCAATGTATCTACATAGTTGTGAGGTAAATCCTATCTCTTTGTTATTACGAGTTATGTCCCTTCTAAGCCTCTCCTATGGACCAATCAGATTCCACCTCTCGTATAACATGCATTTGTTTCAAACAAAATGGCAACGTCGAGTCAGGACGATCTGATCGTTAATCAAGATGTATATTGTGATAAAACGGGTCTTACATCGCAAAGTGCATCAAATCACGTGAGCACCTTGATTAAAAATATGAAAAGATTTGGGAGACTGTTAGCAACGAGTTGGCGGTGCACATGCTTTGCAAATCTTGCAATCGACCGAAATCTGCACGAAAGTCTACAAACCGGATTTCAATTTCGTTGCGCGATTTTGATTGGACTATGCATAGACGCGTTAGTCTTTACGTAGTACGTAGTTCTTTAATGTCTTCCAGTGCGAAGGACTTCATGAGATGATTTAATACTGGGTGAGTACCTATAGAGAGCCCATCATGTTGTAATACTGAGGCAAGAGCTGATCGGTAGCCTTCATTGGTGCCATATCTGAAATTCTTATCGTTTCTGAGATGTAAGAGAAAAACAGCAACTATAGATACTGTAATGTCTAAGTCTAATAGACCTCTTCCCCTTCTCCACGCAACGAACTTGTTCCATCAGTTGTTTAGGAGATAAACATACTGTGTTTTCAATGTAGAGCTAGGTTACCTGTAGATTTAACCCCGCTAAATTGAATTTGGAACCGAACACGCAGCCTGAGGTTTCAAATGTTAAATTTAGCACAGTTAAATCTACAGGTAACCTAGCTCTACATTGAAAACACAGAATGTTTATCTCCATTCTACCATGACTAAATAAAACGCGAACTCTTCAGTGTTAGCAAATATACTGAGTGCAGCAGCATGGGTTGAGTTCAGTGTTTTGAGTGGGTTATTGATCTGAATTACCGAATCACCGAACAAAATATGGCGCTGTATATACTCAAGCAGTTTGTTTACACTGTTATACTTCACTCGAACATATGACAGGCATTGAAGGCATACAAGCATGGCAACTTGGTAAGCTAAGGTGGGCATCCCTAAAGAAAACAAAGCAAGCTTTGCAAGGCTTTCGCTCAACATTGCGTGTCACCATTATGACGTGATATCACTCATTGTGACGCAAAAGATATGACATCACAGTCTTACATTAGGAAAACGCCAAAATTCCAAGCTCTCTTTTGTCTCAAAACGTAAATAAATTCCCTTTGTAGATTTCTATCATGTTTTCTGCATGAAATGTATTGCCATACATCCTTTGAATATTGTAGTAACCGCATCTGTGCATTTTGTAACCTGTAATTGTAGAGATAATTATTTAAATATGCCTACCGACAATGACTGTAAATAGTACTATTCTATAAATATTAGCTTCCTCGGTGATGTGGCCTTCAAACCAGCTCTTTCAATCAGAGGGGGTTTAATGTGATTTGATAGCTTCTGATTGACCAATCAGAATCGAGTTAATTCCAAATTCATGGTAGAATATAGAATAACCGGCGGCTTGCATCTTTGACGAGATAATTTCCAACTGTGAAGGTGGAGATTGTTGAAGCTGTTGTGGAAAATGTTGGATCACGGTTGGCACAGTAGATCGAGACTTCATGGGTTCTTCCATCAGCAGAAACCAATTCCTGTTGGACCACGCTGGAGCTATGATCACACAATCTGACTCCTCTATTTTCCTCTCCAGAAGAGACCAAGGGGTAAAGGCATAAGCAAGTATCTCCTCCCAACACAATTCAGGGTTGACCATTTTCCCTGTATAGTGGCATCGCCCTTTTGGTCTCCCCATCCTTCGCCTGACGGGTCTGTGCAGAGGTGATGGACTGGAGGAGGGAAACTGAGTGGTATGCCTGGCATGACGTTTTGACGAAGTAGCCACCAACTTAGCTCTGACACCTGATCTGATGGAGTTGTGTAGTTGGTAGAATTCATCCAACTCAGTAAGGGGCACAACCCTAGTTTGCCTTTGAGAGTTAGATCCTGAAGGGATGTTTGTGACTCTTGTTTTTGAGAATCTCTCTTCTGAGACATGGGGCTAAGATTACACTTGTTGAATTGGAATCTTGCCCCTATGTAGACAATATCTTTGCAGGGAATTGGCTCAGATTTTGCGGGATGAACCAGGAACCCTAGATATGTTAGCAACTGAATGAGGAATATGACGTTCGTCTTGATCTAAACTTGTCTTGAGCAGTGGACAGGAGATTGTTGATGTAGCTGTGTAGCCTTATAAGATGAGCGAACCCGATGACAGGTGAGATAATCCTGGTGAATAGCCAAAGGGCAATGGAGATGCCAAAGGGAAGAACGTTAAATTTGATAACTTTGCTTGTTGACTGCAAATCTTAGGTAGTGCTGGTAACTTGGATGGATCAGATGGAGGGTAACGTGAAGGTAAGCGTCTTGTAGGTCTATGCTCACTATCCAATCTCCTTGTCTGTGAGACTTTCTTAACTTCCTGATGGATTCCGTCTGAAATTTTGTGGTTTTATCAAATATGTCTTGTTGAGGACTTTTAGGTCTATGATCATGTGCATTTCTGTAGAGTTTTTCTTTGAAACTAGGAAGACTGGAGAGTAAATTCCTTGGGTGGTGTCTGATTGCTTTAGTGCTCTGATTGCTCTCTTCTTCAAAAGCTTGCAGATGGCTACGTTGGTTGCTTCTAATTTTGCTCCTCCTAGATGGAACTGGGGTCCTACTGGATGACTTATGAGACTTGGTCTTTTTCAGAAATGCAACTTGTAGCCTTTCTCGATCACCAGTCGTCTATGATCTGCTTCCAATGTTTGGCGAATTTTTGGAGACGACACCAGACCGGACCCAGAAGGGATGGGTTCTGAATGTTGGTAATCTGTAATCGTGGTCCATGTGGAAAGCTAGGTTGACAAGATCAGGAGATTTGGGGAGAGCTGGTACAGCATCATTTCTGTCGGGGACCCCCTCTGGAGGCACCTCTACCTCTGTTACTCTGTTGGAATGTTTGCTCGTTCCTGCCATAGTTGGAATGTGAAGATCTTCCTTGACTGAAATGGCCACGAAAAGAATCATGACCTGATGAATCTTGTCTTCTCTTGGGAGAGCTATGGTGGGCTTGATGTTCGGCAGGGCGTTTCTGTATCTTGATAGCTGAAATGATGGTTGAGTTCTGGAACTTCTGAGTAGTAGATCGGGCAATCTCGTCTATGACTGAATGTAATCTTCCATTAAACATAGTTGGGCGATGATGGTCTGTGACAGCATACTCCTGCTAAGAGGTTCCAGGATCAGTTGGCGTATTTGTTGAACCAGATGTTGTCATTGCATCAGTAGCATCTGTGCGGACATCCAAATCTGAGTGGCCTGGAGGTCTTGTTGCATTTTAAGAATATGATCCAGAGAGCTGTGGATAAACCCAACCTGTTCCATGACCATGTCAACTGTTGTGTTCGGGGACAACTCCGCTTGATGGTTGACTGGTGGGATGACGTATCTGATACCCGCGGCGACCCAATTAATGTAGGCGTTAATACACAGGACCTCTTTGTTGACCAGATCGGATCCAGATCCTTGAACATGGCTGAGTCCATGCTCAAAGTCCTCTTGACCGATTCCTGGTAGTCGTCGTTGATAACGGGCCAACCGGGAAGAGGGGGGGGGGGGGAGTCATGCGTCTTATAAGCACTCATGCTGATAGGCACAAGACCAAGTCTAATATTGCGCACATTTATGGATGAGTTTATCTTGTTGATAACATCATCTGTATAGGAAGGGTATGTAATGTATCTGACTTGATCTAAGGTTCCTCATAACCTGCTTGTTCAATTCTGGGGTTAGAGATGGACTTGGAGGGTGTAGGGCGGGTATGAGATGATATAGTTCCTGAATAATGTCTCTGATAGACATTTGGCTATTTGGTCTAAACATGTCCTTAGGAGCGGAATCATTGACTGATTCAAGTTAGGGCTGGACCCCTTAGGCTGGCTTGCATGAGGGAGAGCTACGAGTGCTATTGGTAGAGCTGCGTGCTTCTCCTGCAGAATACCGTATATTTTGAGGACCAGAAAAAAGGTCCCATAGAAAGGGGTCAGCTTATGTATGGGTTACATCTTCCTCAAACTCTTTTTCTTTTGGTACAAAAACTACATCGTATCGCTTCAGGTGAATAAACAACGCTATAACAAACTTTGTCAAAGAAAATGTGAAATTTGAGATTTAACATAACTGTAAACTGATGACACAATCCCCGACGAGCTGTCGAATGCTGGGCAAGTAAGAGTAGCAGTAAGAGATGGTGCACGCTTGTACAACCTTACATCATCTACATGATAGTGTTTGACATGTCTATTATTTTCATGTTGTGGTTTGTTACTGTGATGCTTATGAGAAGCACGTGAATCACGCTCTGTGCATTCATGACTTTTATAATAAGGTGAAGTTCTGTCTGATACCCTTTGTTTGCTAACCACCTTCCTGTCGGACCTTGTTGATTCAGCTTGGCTATTGTAAGGTGTTATGTCATGAATGGTGCTTACTGGAAATGCTCGGACGTATGTTAGTGACCCCCATGTCAGAAAGGTATGTCACACTTAAGACACTTTTTCTTTCCAACTTTTGGACGTAGTAGATTTGGACTTTTTAGCCGATCTTGCTGCTCTAGATGTATCAGGTGTCTTACCCAATGCCTTGCACAGATGATCAAAGTTTGTCTTTTAAAAGCCCTTGCAATAATTACATCTAGAATTGGGGGAGCATGTGCCTTTTCTACATGCTTGACATTTTGGGTGTGGGTCTCTGATATTTTGGTCGATGCCACATCCCGTGCAGAGTCCCACCGGTGGTAGAGAGAGAGAGAGTCCATCTCCCACAATATGTTTTACTACCTAATTACCTCCCTGACCCAAAATGTCATGATCCCCTTGTTGTGAAGCTGCCACTGTAGGATGTTGTAGTAGTCAAACTTGAAGATTTAGTGGGATCATAACCAATGTTTATTTTTTCTGATTGTTGACATCTGGACATACAGTAAAGAAGTGATGTGTTCCCGCCTTGCGCTTCCTTCCAGGGAAAGAATTAACGTCACAACTATATAGATAGATTAGGCAGTGAAGAGGAAGTCTGTTGAAAATTTAAATAAATGTATAGTGTGACTGACAGCCAAGACAGGAATTTATGGCAATGGTGTAATACAGGTATGGTATTCAAAGGAATTATGGAGTTTAGCTACCGTATATCGCTGTGTATAAGGCGACCCCACGTATAAGACGACCCCCCTGTACACGCCTTAAAAATCAACCCAAAATCCTATACTCCGTGTATAAGGCGACCTGAATTGAAACACATCACAAGTATGATTGATATAGAAGATTTAACGTGCGCTTTCCGACTGTAGCGTATTTCGCACACGGACATCACAAGTGCACACACAAAATAAAAATATGTTTATCTTGCGTTGTTGTTTTTTTCTACAATGATACGTCGCGTGTGTAACTCCAGCACACGTCGCCATTTTGTGTTTACACGGTACGACACCAAATTGGTGCCCGTAAAATAAAATTCATTTATGAAGTAATAACATATAAAAGACAATGGTGAGTAATTTAATCGCCAATTAACTATGTTGTATCTAACTAGGCTTATGTTTGCTTCACATTCAGCGTGTTTATTCCACAATCACTTGTACACACCGTCTCCAACACTTGTTAATACAACTGTAAAAACAGCGGGAATTGATTTCAGCTTCACCGGTTATCACATGTTAGGTCACATGTGCAATATGCAAATGCTTACCGGTACTTCCGGCTCTCTACTCACGGATGTTGATTGTTTTACCGTGTCAGGTGGTTTGACAATCTGCATCGAGGCGAGGGTCATTTCAACTTTATTTGCAGAAATTATTAAACTTTATTCAAGGAAAAGAGATACAAAACATGTTTATGTATTGAAATAGTTATTGGAACAGTTATTTAGGACGAAATGCGAAGTTTTATTGTCAAATGCTGGGCTGGCTATCGGACGCCGGTTGACATCGCCAGTGGAAAAAAATGTGAGATCTTCGACTCCGTGTATAAGACGACCCCCCTTCTTAGCCCCCTCATTTTAGGTACGAAAAACTCGCCTTATACACAGCGATATACGGTACTTATACCCCACTTTTGTTTCATACCCATACCCTCAGTTCAGTGAAGTAAAAGATAATGCTTTTCAGTAGTTTTCAATATCCCAAATCATCAAAAGGCACCAGTTCACCAGTCGACTGATCTGTATAGCACGTTTCATCAAGAAATATTCAACGGTTCTGGAATTTAGCTCTGGAAACGAGCACTACCCTTATTTTCATTTTGTACGAGTCAAACTTGTCATTATGAAAAAACAGCAGAAGTAAATAAATGTTCAAAATCACCAAAACGCACTGGTTCACCACTAGACTGATGTATATCAAAAGAATATTCAACGGTTTAGGAGTTCTGCTCTGGAAACGGAAAACGGACGATGGACGGACATACTGCTCGCTAGGATAAAAATGACATCACATAACCTACAGCAATGAAAATAAATCAGCCCATAACTGTACTCAGCTTTTAAGTAATCATTTGTTTTTCAGTTCGATTGTCAATTTTACCCATGTACAAACTAAAATGTGACAATGACAAGCTGTCAGAAAATAAGAAAAACATTTTTTTAAGACTGTTTCCACCGAAGTTAAGTTCTATAATATGCAGTGACATGATCATCTACCATGTTCCCTTTGTATTATATTTGTTCTGTAACATTTGGAAATTTGTTTCATTTATATGACATTATCTTATGTAAATGAACACACATGCACACACATAATGATAATACAGACATCATTACTGGCACAAAGCAATATTTATTTAGATCAGAATAGGTTCTGACTTTCGAATGTATATGTAACATAAACTGTCCCTGAAGAACATTTTTTGTTTTCTTTGTTGTTCAACACCTCTCAGCAATATTTCAGCTGTATGACGGCAGTCTGTAAACAACCAAGTGTTGACAAGACAATCCAGTGAATGACTTCATGCGCATCAATCTACGCAATTGTGATACGATGACATACATCTGATTACCCGATCCTGTGAGTCGCCTCTTACGAAAAGCATGTGTTGCTGAAGACAAATTCCAACCCGAATCTTCATTAGGGACATGCAATCTGTGCTGAAGACCAATGTTCGAAATAGACATCGGCCTGTAGGCCTGAGTCCGACAGATTTGTTCTCTGGCTGACAGTTTTAAATTTTAGCAGGCCCTTACAGCCTGCAGTTTATTTTAAGCTGTGAACATGGTAAATGAATCATAACACTGAGATTGCTTAGTGAAAATGGGTCCAGCTTCAAAGGACTTTGCTCATTAACTCTTTCAACATTGCAGGCCAGTGTACTGGCCATGACTTAGCCATGTCAAAATAATATATAATGTCATGAACCTACCTGTCATATCTTTCATTTATTGAATCTATCACTTATTTTATTTCAATTTAGCATATTTTATCAATAGATTTATAATTATTAACTATTCCCTGCAATGTTATTGAAAAGAATAATCTGGGACACATGCTTCGACAACAGGTCCATATCAAACATGTCCAAAAAGCAATATAAAGATGTTTTCAAGCAAATCATAAATAAATTAAATATAGTAATAAATAAAATAGTTACTATTTACATCGTGCAATTGTGAAATTTAAGTCAAACAAAATCTCAGCATTTATCGCCTCAATTTTAAGGTTCGGACACGATGTTTATTGCCAAAATATATTCATGAGAAATCCTCGTCACAGGTCATAACCGAGCATGATATGTCCCTGGTGTTCCATGTTTTAAACATAGGTCGCTATTTCCTGCTTAAAACGTTAAAAAAATGTCTAAATCTGAAATATATCATACATGAGAACGGTATCTAGTGCTGTAATTTCATTGACTGAATGAGGTCATGTGCTTGATTTTGACCAATCACGATCCTTATACTAGATTACGTCAAAAGTGTCATTAGAAGTAAATTTCTATCCAATAAAATTGCATGTTACAATGATGAAAATATTCTTGGCAAGGTTACTGTAATATCATTGATGTTCAGAGTTCTCAAATGATACCAAACATCGAATAAACCTTTGCAAGTGTTATTTATACAAAACTTTGAAAATGGAGGTATTTCCCTGTATTTTCTTATGTCACTAAGTGGAAAGCTACTATTATTGTGAAATATGTGATGATAGATTGTACTTAAAATTCTGCTTTCATCATTTTCTAATTACGTTAACAATGAAAATAAAAAAAGAAATAAGTTAGTGGATAGCTCTATTATGAAATCTTAAAATTGCTGAAAATCATAAACATTCTAACCCAGATATTCACGGGTACATGCACAACATTCAGATTAATTACAGACATCCTAAAAAAGTTGACTGCTTTTGGTTACATACCCGTAACATTGCCTATGGCGGCGTCAGCGTGCTCATCTTGCTTGGCTGCTGTTCGACTAGCAAATGTATCTGGCACACTGGTCCCAAGTGCTATAATTGTGATGCCAGTCACACTTGTCTCCAATCCAACCACACATCCCAGCAGATGGCCCAGCTGAAACAACATGCCATACAAGTATGATGGATGTATTGATGTATTGTATCCTAAGTACAATAGTAAGTTTAGTGTTAGCTAGGATTTTGTAAAACCTTGCTTCCATTGTTGCTGAATAAGTCCAACAAACACAAGCAGATGCTGGAATATCCAAATATTTCTTACATAATACTTGAAAATGAGCATCCTTGGTATTCCAGTACATTATATCTTGGGGACAACATATGTGCAGGATTTCTACGAATGCATTGGTCCACTTGATGAATGTCAGCAAAACATGTTTAACAACGAAAGATGTCTGCATGTAGTTGCAGCCCCTTCAAAGCTATTTCATCAAAACTTCCAGATCTTGACCTTAATTTCTCAATTTCTTGAGATCCAACAATTACACATATCTCACAATTGTAAAAATGAAGGTGCAACTGTAACTGGCAATGAAGGATCCAACCATGTTTAACATTAACTTCAAATATGACCTTGACCTTTGATAGACATGCCAACCTTTTCAAAGCAGACCCCATCTTAAAATCTATAACTGAGTTTAATAATAACTGCATGAATACTTTTTGAGAAATTCACAAACATTTTAGTGACATTTTTTTTTATCTTAACCTTTGACCTTAATAGCCTGTGCCTATTTACTAGTTCAATGTGAAACAAGTCAACTGTTGGATATCCTCTAATTTCAATAATCTTTGCACCATACTCAAGAGAAAATATGACACAAGCAATTTTCACAATTACCTCAACAGTGACATAAACGCAATTGACATTTCATGTGGTAAGAGTTAAATAGTAATAATATTGCCATTTATGTACTGCTAACCTCAACACCTAAGTGTTGCCAAAGATTACAAAAGTAAGAAAATCTATAAATATTTAAAAGCCAGTGCAACAAAACCGGTATGTCTTTAGCTGTTTCTTGAACTGACTGTGGAGAAAGTGATCTTAAATCCACAGGCTGTGAATTTCACTCAGCAGCTGCATTAGGCAAAATTCTGAATGCATCAAGTTGCACTTTAGGGACCTCAAGCAACATCTGTAACTTGAGTGTAGGGGTCTTAAAGGACAGTCCACTTTCACTAGATCACAGTTAAACTGGTTCTATGCCACTGACACACTGATATGTGAATGTGAAGGTCTTGAATCATCATCCTTTGCTTGACTGGAAGCCAGTGAAGGGACTTAAAGGTCAGAGTGATGTGACAAGATTTCTGGGATTTTGTTACAATTCTTACAGCTCAATTTGGGATGTTTTGCAGCCATTTTTATGTGTTTTGTTGGTTGGTTTGCTGTTTAACGCCGACTCAGCAATATTCCAGCTATATGATGGCAGTCTGTAAACAAGATATACATTTGCATTGTACATGTATATAATACTGCAAATATTTCGTCATTTTGACTCTGTCAGCATTTAAAATGGGTGGATGGCAAAAATGACAGCATGAACGTGTATTTCTCTAGGTACAAATGTAGCATAAAGATCTGAACCGTTTCCATGTTATGATCCAGGATAAATCATATTAAATAAAGTACTAAATTCTCTTCAGAACAAACAAATGTATACAATGTATCTGTTTATTATAGGGTGGGGATAACATCGGTTTGCATGTTATGGTCAAGGTTCTAACGCCTTTGGGAGTGCCGGACAGATGAACAGAAGGGCCAGTCCTGGTAGCATATGTGCATTCCTCTCATACTCTCAATTGTACAGTCCCTGGGGGTAGGGTTCAGTCCTCCATTTCTCCAATTTGAATCCCCACCAGTGCTTCCAACCAAATTTGGTTGATAACTATCTCTTTGTTCCAGAGAGGAAGTCGTTTAAAGCGATATAGCCAAGTTACCTCTATTTGGCCCGCCCATTAGACCCTTGGGGAGTCAGCCCCTCCATTTGTAGAATTTTGAATCCTCACCACTGGAGAATGCCTCCAACCAAATATGGTTGATATCTATCTCTTAGTTCCAGACAAGAAGTCGTTTAAAGCAATATAACCAAACTACCCCTATTTGGCCCTGCCCCTCAGCCCCACCATTTGTACAATTTTGAATCCTGACCACCAGAGAATGCTTCCAACCAAATATGGTTGATATCTATCTCTTAGTTCCAGAGGAGAAGTCGTTTAAAGCAATCTTGCCAAATTACCCCTATTTGGCCCTGCCAACACCCTAGAAACTCTCAGGAGACAATGCATCATTGTGCTGTTCCATGATGAGTAACATCTCAACACCTAGGTGTGGTAAAAAGTGGACCGTTTTTCTATCCACTGTGATATAGTTGGGGTTGATCTTTTGTCGTCTTCCATCAGGGTCACTTGAGACAGGTTTACAGTAATTTTATGAAACGAGTGAATAGTTGTGGTATACCACAACTATTCACGAGTTTCATGAAATTGGTTTTACACGGGAGCGAGTTTAGTATTTTATTTATTACTTGCCATTTATAACATTTTTAGAATTATACTGTTGAGTGTGAATAGGCTGACACCTACACGATCCACGGCATAATCCAATTGAGTTTAAACAAAATAATACTTCAAACACGTCAAAAGTTGAAACGTATGAATATAATACCAAACATCGGCCCACCTTTAGAATTCAGGCGTCCGTTCCACAAAAGTATCGTAGCGTTAAGGTTATCGCAACTCACATACTTTAACTTAGACCAACGACTGTCATTGTGCTACAGTACGATTGCCTTGTGGAACGGGGCCTTGCACCTCAAAGTTTACAATCACGTCACAATACCCGATGACGTAATTTGTGGAATTTTGTTGCAAGATCCTTCGGTGAAACAATGCCATGTGACGTCAGCCTAGCAACAAGGTTGCTGGGGTCATCGAGTGTGCATAAGCTCCTCTCAGTGATCTATCATCTCCACACGCAATGTCGTTGAATAAGCCAAGGGATGTTGAGAGCTTTCAATATTTGTTCTAGAAACGTGTTCCAAGAGTACATAAGAATGCGTTTTGGTATTACACAATGTGTAATACAGCTGTATGTTTATCAAACGGGTGATCTCTTCACCGGCAAGTAATAAATGTTTCAAATGAAAAGTATGTTTCTGGATTTGGTGCATGTGAAGAAAAGGCTGCCTTGGAACCATCCATGCATGAAAGCTAGTATCATATTCAGTTTAACTTGAATGGATAATGGAATAAAAATAACAGTACAATCAAGCAATTGCAAAAAGGTTAAACAATTATGGCTTAACTGAGCTGGTTTGAACTGAAGCAATGTTCAAATACATTCGTTTACTGATACAGGAGTAGCAATGCCACTGTCATGTGACTGTAGTACTACAGCTGGTTTATGTCTTCATGACATCACTCACCTGTTCCACCACAGCTGTCATACCAGCAATGAAAAGCAGGGAAATCACAAATGCAGGCCAGGCTCCAAGATAAGACCTACAACACATTGATACATCCCAAGTGAAAACACTGCAGTGTACCCATCTTCCCGAGGCAAGAGAGTTAACTGACTATAAAAGTCAAGTCTCCACCCTTGTCGAACTAGGCTGGTATTATGGAGTTACTTTTTGGCTGGACTAATGAGTCTATGCATGGTCCAATCAAAATTGCGCATCAAAATCTAAATATTTCATATTTTTAATAAAGGTGCTCATGCAATTTGATGCACTTTGCGATGTAAGACAGACACGTTTTATCACAATATAGATCTTGATTATCAATCAGATCATCTTGAGTGGATGCCGCCATTTTGTTTGATACAAATGCAAGTGATATGAGAGGTGGAATCTGATTGGTCCATAGGAGAGGCTCAGAAGGGACATGACTCGTAATAGCCACTGGTGGCGCTACGATCGAGCCCAGGAATTCCAGCCTAGTTCGGCAAGGATGGAAACTGGACTTTTAAAGTCAGTTAACTTCCTTGCCTCGGGAAGATGCACTGTACCTAGCCTGGATACATAGTGAACACTCAGCTTTGATATTCAAATATTTTCTTAATTTGAAGAACTAAACACAAACTTAGAAAATCATGATGATTTGATCATATATGTCAAAGCAGATCAGCTTCTTCAGTTTGACAATTGCAAGGAAAAGTTTAACAAGCCACATATCATTGTGAGAGAATTTAAGAGCATGATCAAAACACAAATATAAAACTTTAATGGTTGAGAAAACAACACATAAATGTTGAATCCCACTACTAACTTAAACATATACCAAGTTTCACTCCATGTTGAATTTTTCATGTGCAAAGTCAATAACGTTAGTCCGACTAGTAAAAGGTGTCCTGAGGTATATGTGAAGAGAACAGCCATTTTGAGAAGTGATGACACTAGGTCAAATCTATTCCTGAGTTACATGAAATTTCACAATCCAGTGAGAAATAGAAAAGTCTGGCCTACCAGTAACTGGTTTCAATAAATAAAAAAAACAATCAAATCATTGAACCTTAATTTAGATAAAAGCACTACATGGACCTGCTGCATAGCACAGTTTTAGTTACATTGGTTAAATGACAGAAATTTTTATATCTCATTAGATGTTGGACAGGTCAAGGAATCAGCTCACACAGACCTCATGCCAGGTGACCCTACAAAACGAAGATGATTCACTTACGTTGGTGGAATTAGTGCACAGAAGATTTTCCAAAAAAATGTGAAGAAATGCATGAAGTAGTCAAACCATTTGGGAGGTACATCATTGCCATCATCATCTGTGCTTCCTCCCACAGTCATGGCACTGAAATACACAACAAGATTCAAATATGCAACAAACCCTGATGATGTTCTTCAACCACAAATCATAACTTGAAAGCAAACACACAGTGTAATGTACTGCACAAGTAACCCAAACATAAAAAATCCATCAAAACAATAATCCAGTGATAAGAGCTCCTCTCTGTTGCAAGCCTACAAGGGTAAATCTAACAGTTTATGGCCTCACATAAAAAATTGTTCATAATCAAAATTGTTTGTATTTCTTAACATAATCTACTTCGACTTCAATACACTTGTTACAGTGATGCTCCAGCTATGTTGCCCCTACCCTAAAGATGTTTTCATCTTGGTCCTCTATTTTTTATAAAGGCCTTGACAGGAATCATTGTCATTGTTACTGGTTATACTCTGCCACCTAGGTGTGTCTAGAGAGTAGGTAAGTGACAAAAAACGAGAGGTTGCTCTGTCAGGAGTGTAAGGACCTGGGGATGCTTTTCAAAAGTCCCAGTCTGCAGCTGCAACCAAAGCCAATTGGCACATGTGAACAGGTGCATTGTCATGAAGCAGGTGCACACCAAAACAGAGCCTTCCTCCACACTCTTGTTTAATAGCTTTTCTCAACTGATGCAGTTCTGTGTCATAGTATTGCCCACTGAGAGCCTGACCTTGCTGCAGATAGTCAATCATGATTATCCCGTTACTGTCCCAGAAAACAGAACACTAAACCCTGACTTTGCCAATTGATGCCACCTGCTTGTACTACTTAGGTGGGGCTGAGATTAAATTGTTCTATCATTTTGAGCAAAGTGATGTAACTACTAGGGCTGTTACGATTCACTTGCGTATTCGATGAATCGAACTGTATCCATTCATGATTTTAGTTGGTTATTCGTGGCCACTGGAATCGAATATTTATGAATATGCAATCATGTGCATTTACATACACTGTACGTAAAAATATCCATAAGAACATATTACATGCAAAGATTTCTTCAAAAACAACACTCTTGTAATATTTAATTTGACAGTATTGTTGTCACTGGTCACGGTCACATTTGAGCAGATACTAGAACCTGGATAAGTGCAGTATAAAATGTATAATATTTTTATAATTAACAAACCATATCAAATAATTTATGTTATTGTTTCACTGAATATAACACATAATACATCAACTGCTGACTATTGACTATTATTGTATTCGTGATTTTATATCCATATTCGTTACCCTATATTCATGATACGAATCGTATTTGCCTCTTAGTGTATTTGTTGCAGCCCTTGTAACTTTAACTTGTAGAGAGCTTATGTGGAGTGAGTCAGCAATATGCTGAATTGTAACAGTCAGCCATTACCATGTGGTAGACAGCCTGCTCTTTAGTTTCAGGAATATTTAGGACTACCAGACCAAGGGTCATCTTCTGTGCTCGTTTAATTCAGAAGCCCATTTCTTGACAGTTGAATATGAAGGGCTTCATCACTAAGCATGCTCTTTTTATGCAGGTACTTAATCACATCTTGTTTCTCAGTTTTCTCCATTTATGCAGTTTGTCTCACCCCTGTCAAGTTCTCTAGCTGACTTATCTAAAAACGATGCAATTTGTTTGTAACTTGGTGTGGTGTCTTTCCATTCTTCATACACATGTTGAAAACCTCACATTACACAAAGCAATATCTATGAGGCCACAAACTTTATGATTTACCGTTGTATACTGGTAACTACCCCGGTCCCAAGTCTAATGCTTCCATGATAGTGGTAGTGGTAGTGGTATTGTTACTGATAACTGATTAACATCTTTTTAGTCACAAAAGTGTCTAGTCAGGATTATGTATCTAACATATTTTTATGTATGACCTGACTGAGGGATAACCCACTCTTTAATTTTCAACTGATCGACAGGCATTGTATTACAGGGTACATTCCATCAATTTTCTGACATGAGCCCTTTAACTGATAATTTTAAATATTCCAGAGGTCAAGATATTCCCATACAGCACAATGCTAAAATGCTCCAGTGTCTTTGAAATTGTGGGCGTTTTTTTCAAATTTAGGGGCTAAAAGCACAAGGCCCCACCCTTGAATTATCCCTGGTATTACAAGGCAAATAACTGTGTGTTGCACATGTCTTACTTTCTAAACTGTCCTCCCCAGGTTTGTGGCTCCTCATATTCATCCTCCATGACATCCGCTATCCTCTCCACCAGCTCATCTACAATCGTATTGCATATCATCAAGTACACAGGTCATAAAGTATCACAATTTATCAGTGACATTATCCACATCAAAAAGCCATAATTATCAGTTCTTATTTATTTAATTATTGATAAGTGAGAATATGATTACCATATCAAGTCTAAGGAACATGCAAAAACGTATCAATCAAGAAAAGATTTCCAGATATTAGAACTTTATTAAATTAGAAATTTATCAAATAAATTCAGAACTAAATCAAATTGATACAATATGACCATTTAGACAAATTTACTTCTTTGTTCATCTGAACAAGAATTGATATGATGGATATACTGTCAACTAAGAACAAATTGATAATCATTTCATAACAAAGTGTCAGTAAGTGAGTATGTAACAGTAAGATATTTCTAAGATAGCTGTACAATCATCCACGCTGCCATGCACTAGTTTCAAAGCCGGTCAGTAAAGACATTAACATAAAGAAAGAGTAACATAAACATACAACTTTAAAATCTTGCTTAAAGTCTAATTATATTTCTTTAAGAACAAATGTTCCGTGCTGGTAAACTAATATAGCAAGTGATAGTCCATATTGTAATCGTAATTGTTTCAGCAATTTCAACCAACAGACATTTCATTAGGCCAGAGGCCTGTGAAGATCTGGTGTAGAATAGGTCTTCAGCAACCCAAGCTTGCCCTAAAAGGTGACTCTGCTTGTCGTAAAAGGCAACTAACGGGATCGGGTGGTCTGGCTCGCTGACTTGGTTGATGCATGTCATCGATCCCAATTGTGTATTAATCACTGGATTGTCTGGTCCGGACTCGATTATCTACAGACCGCCGTCATATAGCTGGAATATTGCTCAGTGCGGCGTTAAAAAACCAACCAACCAAACCAAATCATTAGGCCAGATCATTTTGTTCTTGATTTATGAGCTTACAATGATTTTTATTAAAGTAAAAATTAAAAAAAAATGTGTTCATTTGAAATAATGCTTACTTCGACCCCATTCTTGTCAAAAGGTTTAATTTGATTTTTATTCAAAGCCTTTTCCCAAGGTACATAAAATACAACAAGACTAGTAACGGTTGTCCGTTTATGAATGGTGAAATATGTGTTCTATGCAATATGTTTTACCAGTATGCTATTCTATGAATTGCACATATGTATGAATAGGTAGCTTTTCATTCCAACAAACAAACAGATAGAAAAGAAATGAGTGGTTTCATGATTATGGCTATGTTGGCTCATAACAGGCCCATCAACATGTCAAGAAATATTTAGGTGATTGATAAATGTGCTTGACTTGCTTCTACATATATTGTATACTTGCCCCATGACATGCAATTCATAACCTGAGTCTCCAAAGAGCGAGGTGCATGTGCGAAAGGCACAGGGCACATATTTCACATGCATCACGCAGGGGTGACTCACACAGTGTTCTCACGGCTAAATATAGAGTTCTTGAATATCGTTAAAACAATGTTGTTTAAACATTTTAGGTGCTTGGGTTCTTTGATTGTTGGCCATGGTTAAGTAGGTTAGAGCACACGGAACCTGGTGTCTAATCGATGAAATGTTTAGTTAGAATCCTCATGCTTTAACCTATACATAATGTACAGGCATAATTTAAATGGTCATCCTGAATGCATTAAGTATCAACTGAAATGTGCACATCATTCATAAACAATTGACTCCCATAGTCAATTAAGAGCACAGGACCAGTGATTGAGGTGAGACCCTTAGCTATGCAAGATTTGTTGGTTTACCCTGATTACATTCCCTGGCAATGCACAAAACGGGGCAACATCTTCAACCAAACAATTCTGCTTCAAAATTGACATAGAAATCCAAAAACTAGAAAACAAAATTGAATTGACTAAAGGTTCATTGACATGAATTAAACATTTTATGATATACTTCAGTGTAAAAGACTGAGTTTTCTGAAGTTGAGAAAAGTGATATTTCATTGCAGTGAACGTGACACTAGATATTTCATTGCAGTGAACATAACACTTGATATTTCACTGCAGTGAACATAACACTTGATATTTCATTGAAGTGAACATAACACTAGATATTTCATTGCAGTGAACGTGACACTAGATATTTCACTGCAGTGAACATAACACTTGATATTTCACTGCAGTGAACATAACACTTGATATTTCATTGAAGTGAACATAACACTAGATATTTCATTGCAGTGAACGTGACACTAGATATTTCACTGCAGTGAACATAACACTTGATATTTCATTGCAGTGAACATAACACTTGATATTTCATTGCAGTGAACGTGACACTAGATATTTCACTGCAGTGAACATAACACTTGATATTTCATTGCAGTGAACATAACACTTGATATTTCATTGCAGTGAACATAACACTTGATATTTCATTGCAGTGAACGTGACACTAGATATTTCATTGCAGTGAACATAACACTAGATATTTCATTGCAGTGAACATAACACTTGATATTTCATTGCAGTGAACATAACACTTGATATTTCATTGCAGTGAACGTAACACTAGATATTTCATTGCAGTGAACGTAACACTAGATATTTCATTGCAGTGAACGTGACACTAGATATTTCATTGCAGTGAACATAACACTTGATATTTCATTGCAGTGAACATAACACTAGATATTTCATTGCAGTGAACATAACACTTGATATTTCATTGCAGTGAACATAACACTTGATATTTCATTGCAGTGAACATAACACTTGATATTTCATTACAGTGAACATAATACCTTGATGGATCTATTGTCATACAAGAGTTAGCTCCTCACAAATTGTCTCCCTATATTGTGTCTCGCCTGTACACAAACTGCTGACTTTCTTTTTACGTTAGTTCCACATTGACAAGGCAAAATAACGACAGATGGTCATATGGAGTTACTACCGCTTCTTGACGTTTGTTATTCTTTTGAAAATGTTTCAACACAAACTGTAAATTTCTCATTCAACTGGTCAATCAACTGTTCGTTTCGCAAAGTGTCATTTTTATTACTTAACCAGCGTGTATTCTTTCGCTTCCAATTGTGGTCTCATAGATTTCAAGAATATTTTCGTTGAAGTTGATTTTGTATATAATCACATGTAAATGTATGATAAAGAATTTTTGTGTCCTTAAATATTCTTTGTTACTTTTGTTTATTCTTTTTAAGATTTTTCAAACACGAAAATACTTTTTAAGTCGCAAATACAAGGGGTAGTGAACCGTCCCTGTGTGTTAGGAAGGGAGAATTTACGTTTCAAGGTTTTACATTTCTCATGAAATACTTTAATTGTCCGGCAGACAACTTCACAATAAGTACACGTATATGTTAAACAGGATATTCCCTGTGTCTTGTGAAATATCATGTTTCTCTCAACAATGAGAGAAACATATTTCACGAGACATATGAAATATCCTTTATATATTTATTTTAAAATCGGCTATCACTCAGTAGACAGAAAACTTTATATCACCACAAGAAACAAGCAGTTGCACATAGAAGTGTTATTTCCATGATCAAACTGTTATAGAGAGTATTACATTATTGATGCCTGGTGTGAGCAGTATTAACACAATACGAGACAGTTCTCTGAGCAACAATACTTGCTCCTCTAGAAGACATAACAAATAGCCCAATATTCTGTTATTCTGTAGCTCGCATGAACTATTATTGGCAGGTCGTTCGAGGTGTAACAAATAGTGCCAATGTACTGTTGCTCACCAGACATGTTCAAAATGAGCTGAATGTGTTAATATTGTCTTCAGCCATCAGATAAGGACAGCAAGGCCAATAACTGGCTATGTTATGAACCTGGATCTGAGAGGATGATAGGATAGCAATGAAATATTATATAAACTTTCGTGAAATATTAAAGGATCACTGCATTTTGCAATGCTGTTTCACATATTATTTTCTTCCTCAAGCTGACATCACAAATAATGGCCAAAGTTGAAGGCTAGGTGATAGTGTGTGTTCTTACACATCTTCATAAAGTTTCAGGTCTTTGTACCTTGTGTTTCATCAAAAAAATATTGAACAGTTTATGAGTTATGCTCCGGAATCGAACCCTACCCTCACAGAACCTAAGTCCATCTTGTTGCCATGGAAACGTAAAAAACAATAATTTTTTTAAAATTTCTGAATAGCAAAAGGCACCAGTTTAGCATGTACTTGACAGACCTGCAAAGTTTCATGAAAACATATTGAACAGTTTCTGAGTTAAGCTCCAGAAACGAAATGTGACGGACGGAGCCCGTTTCTATATCCCCCGCCAACTTTGTTGGGCAGGGGATAAAAAGTAATAATTTTATCTTAATGTCGCAGGTTAAGTTTTACTAATATGTTAATTATGTCACCAACTTGTTCCCATATCTAATATTGGCTTGAACAGGCCACCTTAACTGTGGTCTGTCAGGTACATCCTGGGCCCTGGCACATGCAGTCCCTGCAAATGATGTAGAGGCAGGTCACATGACTGTCCTCTATATAGACTGCATGTGTTAGGAACCCAGCACACACCATGCCGGACCACCAAGCCATATAGCATGTCGCTTTGTTATAATTGCAGGTATGTTGAATGGGTTGTGTGAATGCTCTTTTAATCTTTTTTTATTGAAATAGGTTCATTCTTGTGTGAATTATATTAGTCCAGATAACTGTTTTATTATTGAGATGAATATCAATAATATAGTAGATAACTGTTTAATTATTGAAATGAATATCAATAATATAGTAGATAACTGTTTAATTATTGAAATGAATATCAATAATATAGTAGATGACTGTTTAATTATTGAAATGAATATCAATAATATAGTAGTTAAAAACAACTACATGGTCAGCATGTGTTAGGAACCCAAGACACACCATGCCAGACCACCAAGCTATATAGCATGTCGCTTTGTTATAATTGCAGGACTCATCATAAATAAAACATCAGCCCAGAACGAGAACTTTGTTGTTCCTGTGACATTATGGCGCCCAACGTGGGGCTGATGTAGGAATGAAGACCTGTGGCTTGTGTGGCCGTGACGTCATCGTATCCCTGTGGTTGTAATCACAGCAGCTGCAGTCTCTGCATGGATGGAGAAATTCTTTTCGCGTGTTGAGATATTCAGTTGGAAGTGGTAGGGCCCGTACCCCATGGGGAAATTATGATTGACATCGCCGGCATCATGTGTACACTCGCGTTATTGCGTTCGCGTTCCTAAGTTTGTTGTTGTTGTTTTAGTTGTTTTTTTCTTTTTGTGCCAGGACAATAACTTTCTGTTCACGGACTTCGCTGAGGTGCAAGTGACTTTATACTTTTCATTGTGTTTACTTGACATTGTGATGTCAGCATGTGACTTTGCATTACCTTTGCTAGATAATTTTGTCAGCATGTGACATTGTTCTAGTCGACAAAGTGAAGATTGTGTTTGTGTATGTTCATTCTTGATTATGAACCTAGCATGGCCATTTGAAATGTTTGTTGTTCGATTTTGTTATTTTTTTACTGTTAATTCCGTTTTTGGAATACCTTTGTGTGATTATTTGGTTAGCGTACTATAATCTGGGTGTTTAAAACAAATTCAGGTCGAAGTTTACTGTGAGTAAAAATGGAAAGAATGAATCTTTGACTGTATGGAAGGTTTATCTGCAATTCATTTTCACTCAATATCCCTTAACAAGTATTGCAATAATACTCACTGACACATTTTATATTGACTGATTCAAATTGATGTCATTAATAATGACTTGTTTGTTTTCAGACAGCAGCTTGGTCCAGCATTTATAATTGTGAACTTCATGGATATATTTTCACTTCTAATGCTTGAGAAAGTCTTTGTTGTATTACTCTATTTGTTGATTACCAGTGCAACCATGGCTACTGGTGGGAAAGAGGACTGGGAAGGCTTGAAGGAGGAAGAGGGGCACATTGGCCGTGAGGATCTCCAGAAAATGATCAGGTTTATGGAAACATCTGGCTACCGTGTGCTTCCACCAAGTTCAACACCTCACCGGGTGGCAAGTCATTCCTTTTCTTCTTCACCTAGTACACATTATGTGCAGCCACCTCGTATTTCAACATTTTCTGGCAGTGATGCTAAGGGGGAATCATCCTTCGAGAGTTGGGTTTTTGAGGTCAAATGCTTGCTTAGAGATTATCCCACTTCCATCCTAACTCAGGCTGTTCGGAAATCTCTTAAAGGGGAGGCTGGAAAAGTTGTTCTCTTACTTGGAGAATCTGCCTCAGTTGAGGAAATCTTGGCTAAACTGGATAGCATATATGGTGTCGTTAGTTCAGCTGATACACTTCTTCAGGATTTTTACACTGATTGTCAGAAGGATAGTGAGTCCGTGGCAACGTGGGCTTGTAGGCTTGAGGACACATTGATGAAAGTTAAGATGAAGGGCGACTTCATAAATGAAGGATCCGGGGATTGCATTCTAAAGACAAAGTTTTGGAGTGGTTTAAAAAATGACAGGCTTAAGGATGCCACGCGTCACAAATTTGATGATTGTACAGATTTTGATTCTCTGCTTCGTGTTGTTCGAGAAACAGAACAAGAGCTCACTTGGTCTAATAGGGTTAAGGACTCTAAACAGAAGAAGCCTCAAGTTCATTCTCAGGTTGTTGATGCAGATATATCTCAATACTTAAAGGATATTATCAAGAGATTAGAGAACTTAGAGAAAAATCAGATAAGTTCAAATCAACATAAATCATCAAAATTGGAGAAGGATGTTGGGGAGATTGTAACTAGATTAACAAAACTTGAGTCCAAAGTTGGACAAGTTACTCAATCTGGTAGTAACTCTGGAAATTCTAGTTCACGTTGTAGTGGCCAGGGTCGTGGTAGAGGTATGGTCAGTAACCGGGCTTTAAACCAGTCTTAACTTCTGTTGAGGAGCAAACAGACGTCACTGATATTTCCAGCTCCAATGACTTGTATTCTAGGATGGTTGGTCCACGTGTAGAGGCTAATGTCTTTGTTAATGGCAGGGAATGTTTGGTCTTGCTTGATACAGGATCACAGGTAACAACCGTTGCAGAAACGTTTTTATCATGAGCACATGAATGATCTTGAGTTGCGCAGTCTGGATGAGTTTCAATTGGAAGTGACTGGTGCAACTGGTAACAAGCTGCAATATTTAGGTTATATTGAGGTTCCTTTTGGCGTTGCATTTGATACTAGAACGTATGACATTCCAGTCTTGGTAGTTGAGGATACAGAGTTTAATGCTAGAATTCCTGTAATTCTCGGTACCAATGCTCTCAAACTATTTCGCCATTGTCCACTGGATGTTGTCTCTGAACCTTGGCAGGCAATCTTGGCATATTTGAATGCCAGTGTAGGTATTGTCAGGTCTACCAGTAAGCATTCCTTTTCACTTAAGCCCATGGCAGTTGCTACATTGAGAGGCATAGTCCATACCCAGTCAGGCAGAATGATCGCTGTTACCGAACAGTTAGATAATGGCAGTTCACCTCAAGGGTTAGGTATCTGTCCAAGGGTAGTAGAAATAGGAGCTCAAGGCAAAAGTACTGTAGTTCATGTCAAAGTTTGTAATTTATCCGCAAGGGTTATTACACTCCCAGGTAGAGCTAAGCTGTGTAATTTGCAGGAGGTTCAGGTGATGGATTGTTCACTGTTGAACTTAGACAAGTTTTCTTCTGGTACTGTTAAAGAAAATCCTCCCGTTACCATTGATTTAGGGGGAAGTCCACTGTCATGTGAACAGAAACACAAGGTCGAGGGTATGTTTAGTCATTGGTCAGACATTATGTCTCAACATTCATTGGATTTAGGGCATACTACAACAGTCCAACATGAAATAAACCTCACAGATGATAAACCATTTAAGGAGCCATACCGTAGGATACCCCCAGCCTTATTTGAAGAAGTAAGGCAACATCTTAAAAACATGCTCGAGTGTGGAGCCATTCGTGAAAGTAGTAGCCCTTATTCATCAAACATTGTCTTAGTACGCAAAAGGGACAACGGTCTGAGAGTATGCATTGACATGAGAAAACTTAATGCTAGGACTATTAGAGATTCATATTCTTTACCCAGGATAGATGAAACTCTTGATTGTCTTGTTGGTTCTCGGTGGTTCTCCAAGCTGGGTTTGAGCTCTGGCTACTGGCAAGTAGAGTTAAAAGAACCGGATAAGGAAAAAACAGCATTTTCTGTAGGTCCTCTCGGCTTCTATGAGTGTAATTGAATGCCATTTGGGTTGACAAATGCACCAGCAACTTTTCAGAGATTAATGGAAAGATGTATGGGGGATTTACACCTTAAGGAATGCTTGATCTATATTGATGACATCATTATTTTCTCACAAACGTTTGAACAACATTTGGAGAGAGTAGAGGCTGTTTTTCAGAGGTTGCGAGAACATGGTCTAAAGTTGAAACCTTCAAAGTGTGAGCTTTTCAGAAATAAGGTGAAATACCTAGGGCATATTGTGTCATCACAGGGTGTAGAAACAGATCCAGAGAAAGTGGAAACACTGATAAATTGGCCAATTCCTAAGAACATTAAAGAGCTACAGAAGTTTCTGGGTTTCACCGGTTATTACCGTAGATTTGTCGAGAACTATGCCAGGATAGCGAAACCTTTGACTGATTTACTTCTTGGGAATCTGCAGAAAGGAAAGCCAAAACAGAAGGGAAAATGGACTTGGAATAGCGAACAGCAGAAAGCTTTTGATACACTGATACAGTGTCTTACATCACCTCCAGTGCTAGCCTATGCAGACTTCACTTTACCTTTTATCATTAACATAGATGCAAGTATGGAAGGTCTAGGGGCAATACTTTATCAAGTTCAGGATGGTAGGGAACGTGTGATAGCATACGCCAGCAGAGCACTTAGGAAACCTGAGAGAAATTACCCAGCTCATAAGTTGGAATTCTTGGCGCTAAAGTGGGCTTTGTGTGACAAATTCCATGAGTATCTGTATGGAAGTCGTTTTGAAGTAAGAACGGACAACAATCCCCTTTCATATGTTTTGTCAACAGCCAAGCTGGATGCAACTGGTCATAGGTGGCTAGCTGCTTTATCCACTTATAATTTCAAGATTGTCTATCGTGCAGGGAAAATCAACAAGGATGCTGATGCATTATCTCGTCACCCTCAGTTTTCTCAGCATATTCAGGCAGATGTAGTAAAAGCAGTTTGTTGCTGTCAGACCGTGAATGCTGTTAGGTGTTTGACTGTTAGTCCAGCTGTTGAGGAAAGCAAAGTCCCTTTTAATCATGTTGATTGGGCATTTGAACAATCTAAGGATCCGGATATAGCTAGGGTTGCAGGTTTTGTTTTGAACGAGAGAAAACCTATGTCACGTCAATTGAGTAAGGAGACTGACACAGTTCGTAGACTCTTAGGACAATGGTCCAAGTTTGTTTTGAGGGATGGTGTCCTCTTCAGGAAGAGGTGGCATCAAAACAGTTTAGGACATCAGCTTGTCTTACCAAAGCAATGGCAAAAACTTGTTCTTGATGCACTGCATGATGATATGGGTCACCAAGGACGCGATAGAACATTGGATTTAGCACAATCACGATTCTATTGGCCTGGTTTAACCAGTGATGTGGATAGAAAGGTACGTTGTTGTCGGAGATGCATCAGACGAAAAAATTCTCCAAACCAAGTTGCTGCTCCATTAGTTAATGTGACTACTAGTCAACCCATGGAGTTAGTTTGTATAGATTATCTCTCACTAGAGGAAGCAAGGGGCTGTGGTAATATCCTAGTTATCACTGATCATTTTACTAGGTTTGCACAGGCTATTCCTACCAGAAATCAGACTGCTAACACAACAGCCAAGGCATTGTTTGATTTTTTCCTTCATTATGGATTTCCAGCTCGGCTGCATAGTGACAAAGGACGCAACTTTGAATCTAAGGTCATTAGAGCTTTGTGCAGGCTTGCAGGTACAGTTAAGACTAGCACCTCACCATATCATCCTATGGGAAATGATATGGTAGAACGGTTTAATCAGACTCTCCTCAAAATGCTAGGTACTTTGGAGGACAATCAGAAGGAAAATTGGACAATGTATGTTCCAGCTCTCATACATGCATACAATGCTACCAGACATGATAGTACAGGCTATTCACCTTTTTTTCTTATGTTCGGGCACCATCCACGTTTAGCTTTGGATGCTTTTCTTGGTATTGGTTCTGAAGATTTGCAAGAAAGTTCTGGGACAGATTATGTTTCACAATTGAAGGAAAGGTTGAATTTTGCTTACAAGGTTGCTTCCGCAGAATCGGGAAAGGCTGCCAGTCGGCACAAGAAGAGATATGACCGTAGAGTGAGGGAAGCTGTTCTATCTGAAGGTGACAGGGTTCTTGTGAGAAATGTAGGTTTTAAGGGAAAACGTAAGTTAGCAGATTTTTGGTCTCGTGAGTCTTATGTTGTTTTTCACCAGCCCAACTGAGACATCCCGGTATACATCGTCAAAAGAGAAGATGGAAAAGCCCCACAAAAACTTTGCACAGAAATATGTTGCTTCCTTACATGTCTCTTCCAGTTCAACATGAGCAGGAACCTAGGCAAAGTCAACCAAGTCAATGTGAGATACCTGAATCCGATCATTCCTCGACGGAGGACAGTGATTGCGAGGACATGGTAGTTTTCTCTGTTGGGGGTGGTCATGGAAACCATGATATTTCCATCACTTCATCTTCCACTGAGACGGATAATACTGCATCACAGATTTCCAATGAGGTCAATGTTGGAAATACAACTCGGGAACAGAATATGGCTCTTGACCCAAATGTAAGCCGATTTGTTCCACGGCGATCCAGTCGTGAAAGAAGACCACCTGTCTGGTTCAATGATGGCAACTGGGTCATGCAGCATCAGGCTGATACTGAAATCTTTATCTGATTTTCTCAAGTTGTTCAGACATTTTTTGTATCTATGTGCTAATTTGTTGGTTTTTATTTTCAGATGCTGTTCGTATTTGAAATGTCGGGGACGACATTTTACAGAAGGGGGGGGGAAGGTGTCGCAGGTTAAGTTTTACTAATATGTTAATTATGTCACCAACTTGTTCCCATATCTAATATTGGCTTGAACAGGCCACCTTAACTGTGGTCTGTCAGGTACATCCTGGGCCCTGGCACATGCAGTCCCTGCAAATGATGTAGAGGCAGGTCACATGACTGTCCTCTATATAGACTGCATGTGTTAGGAACCCAGCACACACCATGCCGGACCACCAAGCCATATAGCATGTCGCTTTGTTATAATTGCAGGTATGTTGAATGGGTTGTGTGAATGCTCTTTTAATCTTTTTTTATTGAAATAGGTTCATTCTTGTGTGAATTATATTAGTCCAGATAACTGTTTTATCATTGAGATGAATATCAATAATATAGTAGATGACTGTTTAATTATTGAAATGAATATCAATAATATAGTAGTTAAAAACAACTACATGGTCAGCATGTGTTAGGAACCCAAGACACACCATGCCGGACCACCAAGCCATATAGCATGTCGCTTTGTTATAATTGCAGGACTCATCATAAATAAAACATCAGCCCAGAACGAGAACTTTGTTGTTCCTGTGACATTAATGCCATGAAGACATCCTAAAGTCTTTTCAGTTTCAGGTTCATCCTGTCGGGATGTTTGGAGAAGTTCAAGGATAGACAGATGAACAGTCAGTGAAGGACAACCTGCCATGCTATGAGCTCACTTGAACCTTCAGTCGTAGTGAGCAAACACTTGGACACCCAACAGTAGACTGAATGGTTTAGCATCATTTGCAATTTGCCTTTTTCTAGTAATTGTTATACTCTCAATGTCAAGTATGTCATAGTCCTGAAAATTATTATATCTCTGGTCTCTTCCAAGGTCTGTAAATGATTTAAGTTTGTTTACGAAAGAGGATCATCACATCTAATGTGATAGTACGTCGATTTCTAAAACACATCTGTTGCATATAAAAGCAAATATCATAACATTCATGAATGTCTAAATGGTAAATATATTTAAATCATGGTAGCTATGGTGTCCACGATGATTTTTTGTCTTGGTATCTTTTCTTGACAACATAACATTGTATATTTGTTTATCTATAAACTAGTTCCCAAGTCTGTTCTAATCAATGTCATAAGCTTCAACATGAATGCCACCTACTTTGGCTTGTTATAGCAACTTATCTGTGTTGATATACTGAATATCATCAAATCAAATTTGATACTGTGAATTGTAGTCCATTACTCTTGGGATATGCTGCGAGGGCATTCCAATTGAAAACAAAAACATACAGTAGACATCCTAAAACAGTTTAAGTCTCAAAGCAGAAATAAAATGCTGTTGTGTCAGGTGTTCCAATGGTTTTGGCAGGGTCTGCCTATTGAATATCTATTGCACAAAGAGAAACATCCCACCTGCAATCTGACCACACACTCAACACACTGCCACATAGTGATACTTCTACACAACGTGACACCAATATTCACAAACTGTGCTTCAGCTAGGTGAACAACTAAATACAGAGTGGTGTTGCTCTAACTGGATCCTGTCTACTGACTTCTACTACATGACAACTTGTGACAGAGTGCTAGCTAGCTCTAGGCCCACGGGGACCCACGTGTAGTTCAATGTGAAAGCAAACTTATTATGCCAGCAGTTACATAAATATTGTGTTGCAAGAAAACTTGAAAGTGGTTATCAAAAGGTTACTATGAACTACAAAACAGTAATCAAAAACTTCTAATGAAAGATTATTGTCTTACCATCTGAAAAGAAAGAAAGACAACAACATTTTAGCACATGTTGACACTCTCAATAGTTAAATTGTTCCTAAAACATACATCTCTAATTAATCTATTAAACTATAACAAAACAGAACTTGGTAAGACAAACCGTAAAAATCAATAACTATAGGCCAATGTCTGTTTAAGAAACTTAAAGAACCCTGCATGGGTCTGTATAGCTCACTTAAATCCCTGGACATTTTGAACTTTGCTTTAGGGATATTAATGTTATGTCTCAGGGTGTCAACACTGACTTCAGGATCACATAGGCAGAGGTGATGATGTAGCTGAACTGCTGAGATGTTGCATAGGTCATGCCCACATAAATGTCAGGTGTATGGAAATTGCACTAATGGCATGATCATGGATTGTTGTTGTGAACATTTACTATTTTATTGATGTGACTTACTACAAATGATCATGATTCTCACCTCTTTTGACAAGAAAATATTGTCCATTTCTTAAATAATATTTAGTAACACTATTACACTGATGTTACAGAATCATAAAAAGAATATTTTTAGTGCAAATACACATGAATGACTGACTGTTCACACAAACCCTTGGAACAGATAAGCTAAAATTACAAATATTTGGAATCTGTCAAAATATCATATCTGTCTTTAAAATAGTGACACAATGAATCAGAGCAAATACTCATACAGACTGATAATTTTGTGTAAACTTGTAAAGCCTTACATTTTTTTGGCTAGGTTCATGGATCCGCAGACCTTAAAACTTGCAAGTTCAGAAAGTAAAAATGGTCAGTAAGACAAAGGCCTTTTTCATACCAATGGCAGTAAAGATCACTTTGACAAAGAAAATAATCCAAGGGATTTTTTATATGACAATAACAGAATTTTTTCAAATGGTAAAGTCCAAGAGATCCAAATCAAACTAGATAAATGATTTAAAAAATCCTGTACAATGCATTTTATTTAATGCATATTTTTTACCTACCGATAAATTTTTTCACTTTTCAACATCAGTAAACCAAGGTAAAAAAGCCTGGCCCTAACTGACAAACCTATCTAAGGTATCAAAGCTTAGATCCAGAGGGCTTTCCAGAGTATCTTAAGAAATAAATTCTCTCAATTCAAACTGATTTCATTGTTACAATGTATTGAATCATAGAAGAACCATTACAACAAAAGCAATGTGTAGAACCTCCAATCTCATTGAAATCAGATCTCAGTTCTCGCTGCTGCTTAACAAAGATCTGAGGACATCCCATTACGGGTCACGTCTGAACGACCTTTCGCGAACTTTAACCGACCACTGAAATGAAGTCGACATCAGCCAATTAGAAAACAGCTTTCTCGAGCTTTACGGCACTCGTTTCAAACTACGTTTAAAAAAATATGTTGACACAGTTCTCAATTAAAATTTTGATAACTGAACAAACGAACATTCCAGAATATCTAATATATGGCTGCGATTGTATGGCAGTGCTTCCCACATACTGTGCAACGCCTCCTCCATTCAAATGTTTATCCCGCAGAAGCGAGAGATAAACAATAATTTTGATGGAATCAGTCGTAGGGGTTGAACTGTCGTTCGGAATACCCTGTGTGAACGTTTTCAAGGTTGCATGATCAGAAAACAAATTCCGACTGTCACTTTCACAATCTGGTAAGCGGCGCTTTGATTGGTCGGATGAAAGGCCGTTCTGACGTGACCCATAATGGGATGTCCTCAGATCTTTGTTTAGCGATAATGAGAACTAAGATCTGATTTTAATGAGATTGTAGAACCTCTGAAATGTCCGTAAAAACCCTTAGCTCATATTAATTTCATTAGATAAATGCAACCACTCATTGTAACTGGAGTTATCTCCACAAGACTTGTATAGCACTTGTCAGAAATGTTAATGAAAAAGTAGAACAGGGTTACAGTGTTAACAACAGTCTTGAGTACAGAGACACGACTGCCTGGCCAGTGTTCAGTACTATACATGCTGACAAACACACAAGAATGTAGTCCCCTGCCAGCAGCCCTACATTGTCATTACTGTGCAGTCATTAAACACATACCCTTATTGATGTGGCACACTGTTGCACTGCGCATGCCAATGCGTGCACCCAGACTGGGGTTCCGCAGAGCGATGATGAAGTTGATAGCATGCTATAAATAAAGAAATTTGAAACCAGGACAAAATCATCTGAATTATCTTCGCTCATGATAACTATTTCTGAAATATAGTTTGTTTAAAACATCAGGATGCAAAGCCAGGTCATGCAGGGTTAGAACTAAATTCAATAGCTTCACTAGCCTGGATAAAGATAAAATTGGGAATTTTGTACTAGCTCACAAGAATTTGTAGTAGCCCTGGACTAGCAGTATTAATTTCTAACCCTGTCATGGAACATGGCATCTGTAAAACATTGGTGGCTTTATTTTTAGCTGAACACATATGCATTGTAAAAAGCAAACAAAGAAATACAAGACTTGATTACATTAAAACATTTCACTTTTACAACTAAAATGCATAAATGTCATTGGTCATAGTCTGACAGAGAGCATAATGGACAATCATCCATTCCGTCAAGCTATCCCAACTGAAGCAAGTGTAAGGAATTTGCATGAATGAGTCGTAACAATTACATGTGACAATGTTTATTACTCACTTTAGAAGAATTCTTCTATTGTTTTACCTGTTGTACTTTATACACTAATAGTATAATGGCTATTTTATACATTACTAGAAGTCAGTTTTCCCCAATATGAAGACAGATTACACTTTGTGGAACAAATTTCTATTTACATTTTCTAGAGGTATACAAATGCATGCATGTTAGTGATGGGTATTGCCCATTGAACCAGTATTGCAATATATTGCGATACGTACCACAATATATTGCCAAAATCAAATGTTTTCAACTTCTGAGAAAAAAGAAAGAAATTCTTCTGTTTTAAGACTTGTTTTATTATATTTGGGTAAAAACAAACTTTCCTTTTGACTAGAAAAGACACATTATCATCATGGAGTATTCTCTAGACCTAGGTGACTAAATCTCTGAACTCTGTAGAATCAACAATACTGTATGGACGTAGTCCCTTGATGATAAATTTGGCTATCATGTTAGTTATCTCCTTCGCCCTGGGTTCAAAGTCCTTGTACTTCTTAGTACTTGCAAATAAATTGATTATGGTAGGTTGGGATGGGGCTTGTTTTGTTGATTTTGCATTTGATTTCGTTTCTTCAATACGAGTTTGAGATAACATTGTTGTTGATGGGCCTATCTTTCCTGCCAAAGTCGGATGGTGTCTTCGAAGATGCGTGGTTAAGTTTGTTGTTCCACCGGTGTATTTCACAAACGATTCACATTTTCTACAAACAGCAACATTTTCTTCGATTGTTTGATCCATTTTATGCTTTTTTAACCCGAAATGCTGCCACATTGGATTTACCGCGAGTATTTCTCACGACTTCCCAGTCGTGATCCGCCATTTGGTTACCACGGATACGGCGAGATCTCATAGCATATCGCGTTATTATATAGGAAGGGACGTAACTCTAATCGAACGTGACATCAGCTTTATCACTGCCTTTGAAACAACGAATTAAAACACGAAAAAAGAGAAGAACCTGCCCTACCTATTAATAAGGCAAAGAATATGATTCTAAGGCATCAACACAAATGTAAATATGTGTTTTAAAGTATTCTGGATTGTCACATTCATATGGTTGCCCCAGTACCATTAAAGACAATTTCTTTTTAATTTAACAGTACTTGAAAAAGAAAGGAAATATGAATATAAAAGATTGTTAGAATTAAATTTTCATAAAGATTTCCCATCATGACATTTCCATAAAATGTGATTTCATAGGAATGATGAATTTCACACTTTACTATCTTTAGACATTTCCCAACTGTTTGTTGGGTAATTCTTTCCAGCTGTTTGCATACCTTTTTTTCCTTAGTAACTCTTGAAGTAAGAGAATACCAATGAATAGTACCTTCGTGTCCTTGTTAACATCAACTGAAATTGTCTTGGACGTGTCTGCATGGCTAAACTCGACAGTGCCACTTGAAGTGATGTAGTCAACACCTGGTCCTAGAATCTTGCCTCCCGTGCCTGTGCCGTCTCTGCAACATTCACCCAGCAGCATACACATACAGCTCCATAATGCAGTCTACACCTTCCAGCAGGGCTATCAACTATAGCCCACAATACAAGGGCGTGAGTCCATCACTTTCTTGTTTGCTTGTTGTTTAACGCCGCATTCAGCAATATTCCAGCCATATGACGGCAGTCCATAAATATTCAAGTTTGGACCAGACAATCCAGTGATTGATATTATGAGCATTGATCCACTTAATTGGGATATTTGACATGCTTCAACTAAGTCAGTGAACCTGATCACCCCATCCCCTTAGTTGCCTCTTTCGACAAGCACAGTCGTCAAGCATGGGTTGCTGAAGACCTATTGTAACCCAGATCTTCACGGGTCCATCACTTCCTTATTACCTTTTAAGAATAGTTAAAATGGATAGAATTATCATTAAACCGCTCGCATGTTATTAGATAACAGTTGTCATTTGATAATGCCCTCATATTGCTTGACGATTGATCATTATCACGCCCCTTGTTAGGTGACGTCATGGGGTAGGGATAGGTGACATTATGTTCAATAGTGACGTCATCTGGTTTGTTCTATGACGTTTCAATACTTGTAAAAGTGGGTCAGTGCCATTCGTGTTGATTGCAGTATATACAACCGATATTGTTGTTTCTTTTTATTTGATTACAAATTCCATCCATTTTAGCTATAACAAGTGCAAAAGTGAGCGTGGCTCACTAATACCCCCAACCTGCCTAGTGTGTCAGTAGTTACAAATTAAATATCTAGGATAGGGTTAGGCAGGGTTCCCCCTAGACTCCAATATCTGAGAGTCACATTGACTCAGCCTATGAATTTTTGGGAGTCAAAAATATTTTTTGAGAGTCAAATGTTTTATTGTATGATTAATGAAATTTAAAGTGTTCACTGTTAATGTTACACTTAAAGTTAAGTATCTTTTAAATATTATATGTCTTTAGTTTAAGTTAACAAGTGCTAATTAATGTTCTCAGCTGATTGTATTGCAGAGAAATAAAGGATATATGAATGAAAAGCAAAGTTTGTTGGTTTTATTTTTTCACAATCTTTAATTACTTCACAGCTCATGAAACAATTTACAGTGACACTAATACAGGATGAATAAATAACACATTTTGACATAATTTTTAATTATGGATGGATATTGAAATACATTTCATGTCAGATTATAATTTAATACCACTAACTCATTTACATCTTTTATCTAGTTATCTTGTATTATCTATCAACAGTGAAGTTGAACTGAAGAATTGTGAACACACATAATATTTTCTGGTTGAATACAGTTTATTAGCAACAACAAACACGCACAAAGCTTTACATTTCGTATATACCATATTTATTCGTGTATAATACGCACCCCTAATTATGAGCAATTAAATCCTGAAAAAAATATCTCTCGTGTATAATACGCACAGACTTTTCTTCAGTCTCATTTCAGGCTGTCATGATCCATCATCGGAAATAGCATAAGAAATCTGAATTGAATTACGCAAATTAATCCTTTTGTTACACTATCCGGTAATAAAAATGTGTTCTCTGTATATCTGACCTTATGTTTGTCATCTATTTTATTAATTTTATTTAAAATTTCATTCAATAATGTTTACCTAAATTTCGGCAAAAACATGTGTCCCTCCAATACTTACAACTTCCGTTTACCCCGTTCCATAGAGTTACGTTCACTTTGATGAATAAATATATTTTGTCGTGTACCTCAGTCGCACAGTTTTAGAAGCATATCTATATAATTATGCAAAACAATATGTAAAGCCCCCGGCTGTTCTAATTTTAGCGTTTGTTTTAAAACGAGAGAAAAGTCTGGTCATGTGACAGGCTATGCAAATTAGCCCGTGGCAGTGGTGTTATGCGAAGTTATGTTACTTCTAAAAACGACGATTAATTAAAAACTAGACGTAAATTTTAAGACGTTTGCATATATTGTCTTCGGAAAATGTTTATAAATTAAGTTCAGGTGAGTAGTTGTAATATTTTCATTCAAAAGCTGTTAAACAACAACATAGATATTTTGAAATTGCGTCAGTCATGACGCAGTCATTTTTTTCTGGACGTATTTTTCCTTAATTGAGAGTCATATACGCAAGAATCCTGCATCAGGGGAAACCCTGGTTAGGGTTTGAAAAATTCATAACAAAATGGAAAATTAATAAAAACAATTTTTTTCTTTGGACTGCACCCCTCCACATGACACAGATTATATGTACTAAGTTTGAGATGAATCCACTGAATAGTTTAAGAGAAGTTTTCGGACAGACGTTAGAGTTTGAAAAATTCATAAAGAAATGGAAAATTAATAAAAACATTTATTTTCTTTGGACTGCACCCCTCCATATGACACAGATTATATGTACTAAGTTTGAGATGAATCCCCTGAATAGTTTAATAGAAATCGCGAGGACAAAGTTTTCGGACGGACGGACAGACGGACAGACAGACGGATGCCCTGAAAAATAATGTTACCCTTATAGTATCCTGATTCTTCTTCATGCAATAGCTTTCATATTCTTAAGCAAACGGTAGTACACTTTTGAACACATTAAGCCAAAGTAAAATCTGTTGCTCTGTTTAGAATTTGGTTTCTGATAAGGAAAGAAAAATCTTCTGTTTTGGACGACAATTGGTTAAACATAACAGCAACTTGCAGAAGACTTACATCGTGGAGTACTCCAGTTTGACTTTCCCATCACAGCCATGTTCCCGGAGGACCCTAGCAGTCACCTTGCCATCCTTCAGATCCGCATGGTAATGGGCGTCCTCAAACAGGAACTCTCCTGGTTCTGTAAACAAGGGCAACTTGTGTTATATAGCAGCACATCCATGTCATTCTGGTGTCCTACAAACAATTACAGTCTTGATGTAGAAAATGCACATACAACTCGTAGTGGTTTATCACCCACATCATTATGGCATCAGTTTCCTTTTATTCATATTTCATCCAATTTTCCAAATTGACATATCATACCAACAAGAATTGTATGCATGTCTGTCCGTTTATTTGGTAACACTTGAAAACATGGTCGTAACTAATGGTTATTACAAAATAAAGTTCATGCAAACAACAAATTCTGAAAATTAACAGCTAACTTTTAAATTCAATCACAGTTAAAATCAGTATTTTCCTAAGTGAGGAACAAATTGCTCGTATTCAGTCCTGTGTCAGTAACTACAGTGTCATAGATTTAACTAAAAGATTATCACTACAGCACATTAGAGAACCTCAATTACACCAGGAAGGAATCAATTCTTGCACAATCTGCAGCGCAACAGACACACTATTACAGAATTTTAGTGCTGTTATATTTTCCATAGATTGCCAAAGTGGGTTTGCAACTGTTTACATACATATAAAAGATAAGGCTTTAAAAAAGAAAGAAAAGAATTGGTTCTCAGGCAATGGTTTTTGAAAATATAGTGTGGGCAGGCGGTGTCTTTTTTTTTTTTGGTTGTTCAAACTAGCATGTAACCAATAAACAGTTTTGTAATCAATAAAAGTTATGTACAATCACCCTGGGAAAGGGCCTCCCTACATAAATGTATTTCTTGATGAGTAAAATAGTTGTATACAGTATTTGACTACCGTTGGACTTGGAATATTTAAGGATTTTTTTGTTTGTTTGTTACACATCGTGGAGTACTCCAGTTTGACTTTCTCGTCACAGCCATGTTCCCTAGCAGTCAACTTGCCATCCTTCAGATCCGCATTGTAATGGAAACAAAAACAAAACGTGTGGCAAACTTTATGATGATGCAGGCGATGCCTGAGAACCAAGACTATTATATTTTTTTGCCTAAGATAAAAATTAAACTACAATTTACATCTATAATCTCCAGCACATGTTGAAATTGGGTGGTTATTTACAGTTCTCTCAATGATACTTAGAAGTATTGTATGGCAATTCATATCTGACCCCGCATCAAATCGAGACCCCCATATCAGCCTGAGGGGTATATAATAAACATTTTATCATATACCATAACATACCATAACATTGTAAATGTATCTACATATACTTGCAATGAATGCAATACATTTTCACCTTGTTTGGAAGCCAGCCGAGGAGACCAGCAATCATCACGAAGGGATGTAACAAAGGGGGGGGGGGGGGGGGATCTGGTAACTACACCCCCTGTAATATGACTGTCTCTATGTTGGCTCTATAGCACATGCAAAATGCTGCACATCATTGATAGGTATATGATAAAAGCTAATTAGCAAACAATAGTTATCAAGCCTCTTGCACATGAGGTAAAACCTCACTTCTTTTCAACATCCTTAACTTGATGCAGAGAATTAGGTGGGTAGGTTGGAGTTACTCATGGCGTAATAGAGGTAGTATTCTTTGAATTATTAACAATGATAACTATTATTTGAAGAATTCTTACAAACGCAAAACCTCTATTACAACCTTGGCGACTTTGGTCCCACCTGACCTTCCAGGCTTTAAAGTGTATCATTAGACTGTCCAGATGAGTTCTCACGAGTTGGAAACATCTATGTACAGTTGATGTTTAAGTGTTGGGAATGTAAGAGTAATGCAAGGGTACAAGGAAAACTGGAAAATAGAAGCAGTGATCATGATCCATATCCTCCAGCTCCCGAATGGCACACATGTCCACTAGCGTCTGATTGGCCAAGAGAGCTGCTGTTAAATTGGAACCCTACCGACAAAACCGCAACCCATAGTACAAGGTTCAATCGTCACTGGAAGTGGAAATCTGTATCCTTCCTGAACAACCTGTAAAATCCATCGATCAGATTGATGTTTACAATTATCTGCGAACAGGACTAATTGTCCCAATGTTGGGATTAGTTTCAATTTTGGTAGGCGGTAAACATAGCCATGTTGATAGGATTTGGTCGCAGCAATGGTCTTGTCTCTACGGCATGTAGTCATATTTACCTGGAAACAATTTCTGCCAGATAGCAAAAACCTTTTCTTGGGGGAGCCCGGAATCCAGCCAAGGTTTCTTAACAAGAGTGTTAGTGTTTCTGACATTAACAGTCAAGTTAATGGAACAGTGATGGAATCGCCTGTGGTTTCCCGCCTTAGCTCCTACACTGCACTTTTGAGTGCGCCATTAAACAATTGAGGCTTCGATAGTTTGGGATTTGACCGAATTGCAGGCCTTGCTGAAATCGCCCTTGTCCGCACTTGAGAAAGAAAGATGTGGCAACAGGTTCTGAAGCCTAAGTATCTGGGTGGACATCAACATTTGGGTAAAATCCTGCATTTTGACAATACGATCCAACAATCCATGCAACAAACCAACCTGGTCAGTGCGCATGGATACCAAGACTTCCATAACTTGACTAAGGAAGTGTATGAAGTTTCCATGAAGCAGTGGTTGGATACACGTCCTTACCCTCTGGACCTTCCAGATAAAACCAATGAACCGCAGGTCATAATACAAGGTTCAATAGTCGCTGAAAGTGGAGCTTTTATCCTTCCTGAACCTATCGCCGTGGGACCCTGACAACTCACACATTCCAACATCTGAGGTGCCTCCACCTCCTCCATATCTGGTTTGAGGTCTCAAATAAAGCAGGAAATGAGTGTCCAGGTTCGTAATGGATTCTCATCTCTAAAGACATGGCTGATGAATTATTGGAATTGTATCCCTCTCTCTGATCCAGATCCAATCCCAGGTTAGTTGTACCATCCATCAAACTGAATGTCACTTGGTTCACGGTTGACACATGCTGATCCAAACCCACAGACCCTACAATGTGGTCCACAACCCAAAACTGTGATGTTAGATGATCGAGAGGTGTTGCATGTGCACTGCCGTGTGATGGCTAGACTGTTTACTGCCTGCATCTTGCCAGTATTGATCAGAATCTAAAATAGGCAATACAACAGCCATGGTAACCTTTGCACAGATGAGTCTTCTTTTAGACCTGTGTGTCGTCTTACTGTCCTCATTAACTACTGTGTATCGTCCCAAGGAGGTCAGAAGAAACAGTTCCATGCTGTGTAGGTTATGAGTAACCCAGCCCACATGTCCATCCTAGGTGGAGGTCATACCACCATCGTCCAACGGTCAGTGATTGTCCTTGACCCAATCCAGAAGCATAACAACTCATGGACCACTCAATGCCATTATCGCCATCATGTCCGGCTTTTCCAACTCGGCCATAGAAATCTGAAGATCCAATGGTTAGCAGTGTACCACAATCTAAACCAGCAGTATACTTCTCCTGGTTAGATTGCAACTTAGATTTGTTACCCTTAGGGGTTTTCATCTTCCAGGGATTGACCTGAGCCTGGGGAATCTTCATCAGATCAACCATTTCTTAGTCACTTCAGGCCTCTTAGGCATTTTTCAAGATTCCGAGATCTTCAAAAAGTTGTCTTATATGAGAGATGCACACTGGGAATATCTATTGTCTTCTATGCAAAAGTCAGGGCAGCACTTCCAGCAAGACTCATAAGGATCCTCAAGCCTCATTAAGTTCCCACACTTTACACCTGGAGGCAATGCCATCTTGTTACCAACATGTGTAGCCTAATGCTACCTTAGGTACACTAAGAAACTTCAACTACTTTTACTGTAATTTTGTGTTTGAAGTCCAAACAGATAGAAAGTAGAAGGAACGTATCCAACTTAAACTAATTGTAATAAATTTTACAATATATTTTATCCCTGGTAACTAATAGCAGTATTAACAGACAATGGAATATAGCTAATAATAGAAATTGATGTATGTATCCTGCGAACACTATTTCGAACAGTTAAGATGACATTGCTGATATTTCGAGGGATGAGTGAATCAAAACTCAAATTCTGCTTCATACCAGAAGGTGATGTCTCAACAATAGAATTCTGCTACATTTCAAAAGGAAAAAATTCCGTGACCTCCATTACAGTCTGTAAACTTGAGTGATGTCACCTATTTTTGAACACCTGATTGATTTGGTAGTTTAGCAGGGTTTCCAAAAATAAACAGATGTGTTTGGACCTAGCAGTTCTCAACATAATACAAGCAGGTTGGCATTAAAATTCAAAAACTAATTGAAAGTTTGAAACCTATTCATAAAATATGATAACTTGTCAAATTATAGTGTTGACACTATTTTACTCTTCCTTTCCATCATGACACGGGCACCAAAATTGTAAATGACAACGGAATGTCTGATATTGACAGGATGTATGAGTACACTTTCAAGTCTGCAGCTTTGATTATGTCACACCTCCCAATATGACGCAAAAAATCACAATCAATATAGCTGTTCGGAAATATGTATCGTCAGAAAATAGGGCACTTTACGATATACAAAAACTTGGAGAAGCTTTAATTTATTACCTTTCAGGAAGCATATATTTATATTACATATCCTTATGACCAATTTGACTCAGAGATACTTCTAATAGTCAACCCACAAATGCTTACCATCATCATCTACAATTGTGACCCTGGCCACACTTGGATCACCCAGTCCACTCTGACCTTGAGGGTTCTTCAGTATTAAATAGAAATCAACATCAGCTTCATACTGGTTGTCATTCACTATTGGGATAGAAAATGTCTTCCGGTATTCATTTTCTTTGAAAGTCTGTTGGAAAAGAAGAATTGCTTTAATACAGTTAGGAGCTTAACTAAGTAACTAAAACACTTTCAGCAAAACCAGCAAAAAATAAAAACATTAAGCGGTTTAACATGATAATACAATTTCACAAGCAATAAGTTGATCATTGTGGAATTATCAAAGATGCTGTGAAAACATAATAATTCTGATATTTAACGAGCAAATATATGTGCTGTAGCAACACCTCTCATATGAAATTGCGTGTGTAATATTATAAAGTGACCACAATATGACACTTATACAGGACATAAAAACAGGACTCTTGTAATGCCAGGGAGTTTCTAGACCAGGTGAAGAGTGAAGCAATGTGTATTTAACTAGAAACCTCTTGACAACACACCTTCAGCATGTGGTATACAATTCCTCTTCCTAAAGAGCAAGCATTCCTTTTATGAATAGTGTCGTGCTGATAAAGACTCACATCAACATCATGTGATATATGTACAGTTTCACAAGATGCACCTTGCTTTCACTATCTAGTAACTATGTACTGTATGTACCAGTTTTCCTTGAGTGTACGTGAAGTCTTTGCCTGGCTTTGCTGATCCCTCTCTGGTTTCATAGTCAACCGACACAACTCCAATGTGAATGGAAGACTCTGTGTCCTTTGATGAAGGCACGCCCTGGCTTGTTGCACTACCATTCTTGAAAACAACCTTGTCTTGATTCTGCAGAAGGAAGTAGCATATACGCAACAGAACTCATTGCTTTTCTGCTATAACAATGTATAAGCACCTACCACAGAAATGCAGAAGGTTGAAAGTGACAGCAAATACTTTGTTTGTTGTTTAACGCCGCATTCAGCAATATTCCAGCCATATAACGGTGGTCTGTAAATATTTGAGTCTGGACCAGACAATCCAGTGATTGACATCATGAGCATCGATCTATGCAATTGGGATACGATGACATGTTTCATCGAAGTCAGCGAATCTGACCACCCAATCTTGTAGTTGCCTCTTACAACAAGCATGGGTTGTGGAAGACCAATCCTAACCCCATTTGTCACAGGAGACAGCAGATACTATTGACCACATAATTTACATCTGTATCCCAACAATGTGAACTGAAGCCACCTAAAAAATCCTATTTTGTCATGGTTGAATGGAGGTAAACCTAACACTTACTACAGCAATTCATGTAAACAAGACTTGTATAAGCAAGTTTATATCATAACAACATTGATGTCAAGTGAGTACATTAGGATTAAGTGTTCTTTGAACAGTGTTTTTTGTTTCATCACAGATACACAGTCTGAAAGTGGGACTCATCACAAGCTGATCATGACAAGTAAGGGCCACAGCAAATAGCAGCATCCAGCTCAGACCACTGGGCCACATGTCTCTACAACATGATAAGTGAAGTGAACACAAACATTCATATCTTAATTAGTTCATTGTCAAACTTTATAGTTATAACAATCATGTATGAAAATAGACAACAGAAATTATTAGAAATAATGAATTACTTACAACAATGTCAACAGGACCCCTTGGGCTGAAACAGAAGTAGGCAAAAATGAGAACTGACTGAGGCAGAATGATAATTTGCACAACATCCAGTTATCTCCCTTTGATGGCACTTCTCAGCCGCACAATGTATCTCTGAAACAAGTGGTGGAGGGATCACCACATGATGAAACTTCTCAGTTGTTTCACGTGATCTACTGGACATCTTGTTAGGAGCCAGATGTCCACAACCCGAAATCATGTAAGATTGTGTGAGCAAAAGTGAAATATTATTATTTAGATACCGATACCCATCAATTATAACAAACACGATGGATAGTATTGTTTAGTTGTTGCATTGGGTGTAAGGAATAACATAACAACTGTCAAATTCATGAATATATTTTAGTATGTACTGTTTTTCCAACTCAGTTCTATCCTCTAAAAGATCTGTACATAATTTCTTTATCTAATTGCATGTGGCAAGGTGACTGCATGATGAAAAAGGAGACAACATAAGGCCAGGTGTTGTCTGCAATAAAACTACTGATCTTGAATTATATTACATTCTGGTGTTATATTTACTCAGCAGTCCCCATATATATATATCGCAAATTCTCTATCAAATATATGAAAAATAATTTAGTAGGAACGACTTGTTTTTTTCTTACAGCTTCTAAGATAAACATTAGTTTCAAACATAAGAACTAAGAATAGACCAAAGAATTAGTTTTGTAGCAGCTAATTGCAGACCTATAGCAGAAAAAAAGTAAACAAAAAGAAGCTACAAAAAAGAAGAAGTTACCTATTATATGTTAACAAGATATATTCATATTTCAAAAGAAGATGAAAATAGAATGAGAAGCAAATTGGATTTTCAATGTATTACTGCCCGTTAGGCTATCTGTATATTTTTCTGTGTTTTCCCATATCCCATTAGTCCCAAGCTCAGAATTTTCATTTCGACATGAAATTATACAAAAAGTTTTCTTATCTCAATTTTCGCAATTCATTGGAAATTAATACCCCGATGTGATAAAAAATATAATCCTACCAATGCACACTCATAAACATACCAGGTCAGCTTGATCTTTTCTCAGGTTTAACAATTAAAAATTTGTTGGAATAAATATCAGGAATTATTAATTAAATAATAAAGATATAAACTCTTAAGCAACCATTATCATTAAATGAAAAATCACCAATTCATTTTTTCAGACCTCATAACTGGTATTAAAGGGAATATATATATACACTAAAGATCTATCTATGCTATGTAACTCTCAAGGACTGACACCAAGTAAGGATAAGATTTATGGATGAACAACTTCTTTATAACAATTAGGAGCGATGTTTAGATGTAGGTTCTAACACCGTTAACAGGCAAGATGTTCATCCATAAATCTTACCCTTACTTAATACGCCAACTTCTAAAGCCCTGTGAAGTTAGGACTAACGTCATTTACCAATCTTAAAGCAATGTACATTAAGGGTACATTATATTATTATCATTTGAATCTACGGTACATATTCCTAAATCATGGAGAGAAGTTACATATTATACTACAAAATATCCATACTTTACAGTTAGACATAAGCACTCATTGGTATGATTTACTCAAAAATATTGAACGATACCTTTATTTCTTCAGTAAAATCCACCAGCAGTGTGTGAGAAATAGCATAATGAACAAAGTAAAGAAATAGATAGAAAATATACTAAAGATAGCAAACTGTTAGATCTAGATTTTCAACTCAAATTGACACAGTGAACTATCTATATTAAAAGAGAACTGTTGAAATTTAAACTAGTAGTCAACAATACCTGCTATCTCTGTGGAACAGGAAAGGAAAACATATATGTTTATTTAGAATGCCCAAGTGCTAATAGTTCTTGGATTGATTTTAATGGACTTAAAGGGGCACTAATCTTTGGCTTCTTCTCGGCTGACACTTTGCTTACCAATGCAACTACAACTGAGTGTGACAAGAGACTGGGCTACCGTCTGTAAAATCAGCGTAAATAAACTTGGAGGCAATATTTGCATTTTTGAACACTGATTGGTTACCCCTGATCTATAAAGATTTTGACAAAGGGCACATGTTAATTAATTTCTTCAGCCTAAACAAACAGACAAAAAGAATGGCGAAAATATGTTGATATTTTAATTACTGTTATCTTGCAGTGGATATGTCAAAAGTAAGTGTTCACATGTCTAGGTTTACTAAAGCAAAGGGAATACACTCATATCATGGCGTGAAGTGCTGATGTAAAAAACAACATACTTTGTTCAAAGGGTTTGTTCAAATACGTTGATTGATTGCTCATTGTTATCTAACTCAATGGATTTTTTTTAAGAACCTTGGACATTATGAAAATAGTAGTCAGCTGGGCTTTCTCAGCTGACCTTTGGGACTTAATTGACACCTATGTGAAACACCTGAAACAAACTTAAGTGATCAGAGAAATGAACAAGGGTTATAATATCCCGAAACGATATATATATATTTTTAAATATTTGATTGTTACAGAGACACATACAGCTGCAGATGTGTGGGATATTGTTCCTTTATGTGGATATTCATGGATACATTTCTTGAACAAGGAAGCTGCCTAAAATTATAAATATTAATTTGGTAAGTTGTAATTATGATATTTGTTTTCCTTCATTTGTTGTAGCATTGAACAGATTCGTTCTTGTTCCTCTCTGTCTTGGTTGGGAAGTTCTTCGATGCGTGACAGACGTTGTTTTCACAAGTCTTTTCCTTTGTAAACATGTATATATATTACAGTCAATTTGTAAAATGTGATATCGATTCACTCATGCAATTTATAAAATGTCTAAATATTTCAGTCATTTTTATGAAAAATCTGTCCATTTATTAAACAGACTGACTAAAAATGATTAAGACGGTCAAAAGGGCTTAAAAAAAAGCACAATAGATTAATTATGCTAGGATTAGAAGCCAAAGAATATATAGAAATGTACTTTTAATCCTAACATATTCAGTCTCTTGGTGATGATATTAAACATAAGAATGTTTGGAATTCGTTATAATAATACAGATGGACATATTTGTCAGTCAATTTGTAAAATAACTGAATATTTAGGCGTTTAATAAATTCCCTAATTGAAAATACATGTATTGCATATTTTGACTGTAGAAATATAAACAGGATAAAATAAACCAAGCTCAGGAGAAATAATTACTTTGTGTTGCAAGTCAAAATAGTGTTAAACGAAAATCGCACAATTACCAAGACTTATCAAAACTTAGTCACCATTATCGATGCTACCCACAAAGATACCTACATTTCCTTATAATTTCCAAAACTGTATTTCATTTTGTTGATCAATGTGACAATATGCCCTTATACTATCAATAAAAGTGACAAATACGTTTTTGAATGGCGCAGTACAGGTCGCAAACTAGTCTAGATTTCTGCTATATCATCCGGTTTCTCATGAGGCAACCAGTCCCGGGGAATTGCTTTACATCAGTGCCCCTTTAAATGTCGCTTTCAGGTAATTTAGTCAAATTATGAATTAAGAATTTCTCTTGAGGAGACTTAATAACAATTTACTCAATCATATCTTAATGGCAGCAAAATCTAACAATAATTATCATTGTTAATAATTCTATGAATGCAACCTCCATTACATCAAAGACAAATTCCGGTGTTTTGGTTGCAATCACTCTAAATTGAACTTTCAGATTTTCAACAGAAGTCCTATTCACTGTCAACTACACAATAATTAGTTGTTGGGGATAAACTTCTTCCTAGCTGGTTCATGGAAGGAAATGTCTCTGGATTGATCTCTAGGTTGATTGGATGATTCATGAGCTTAGACCCTTAAGTTGATGGTAGACACTTGAAATCTCTCAGCTGTCTTGTCTGACCTCATCACCAATCTTTCCAATTTGATTATTAAATATCTTGGGGCTGTGATGGATTGGCACATCACCATCTTCTTGGTCTGAATTGATACAGTCCTAGATCTGATCTGTGATAGGAGCAGCTGACGTTGCCTCCAGGCAAATTGAGAAGATGTCTAAACTTGCATGATAAGTAGTTCCTGTTGCATCTTAACGATTGTGAATAAGATCCACTAGATCTTCTCAGATAGATAAGAGTGATATCTGCCAGGACATCGTCATAAGATGGATGCAAAAGGAGGTATGGCGTGACAGACTCCGGCCACAAACCAAATGATATAAGCACCAATATCCGTGGAATATCTGCTGACAGTTGACAAATAATTAATGTGACAAGTCAGGTAAGGGTAATCTCATGTTGGAATTTTGACAAGGTTGGAGAAAGTCCACATATAAAACTGTTTAATCAGCAAATGGCGAGTAATGCATCCGGTAGAACTTTCTCTTCAAATTAGGGAACAGGAGTCATTCGTCATGCCAAAGTTTATGTAGATTGTCTGAGCCGTGATCAATAATCCCTTGCGTGTAGCTCAGCAATGGCAGAGTTGGTAACAGGTGCGTGGCAACCCACTGGTCCATATTGGGGTGCAGGTGCGGCATGAAATGATATAGCGAGTTCCATGAAGGAAAGAGGAGTACCAATTTTTCAACCTCATAATAGCTATTTCCGTTGTCAAAAGGGACATGGGAGATCCCCGACTGGTGAGTAACAAAGTAGTCGAGCAGATCCATGAGGTCCCCGTCATTATCAAACGGTGTCCACAATTCAGATAAGATCTGTGAAAGGGTAAACTGTTGCATAATCACAGCCATGGCTATGAGGTTCACTGGCCGGTTGGAAGGACCGTGCGGTAACTGTGACGAACAAGTTTCCTACGGGGTAAGGTGAACAGCTGGTAGGAAACTAAAACCCTGTCTGGTGGCCGTAGCGATGGCAGAAGAAAACAGACATAAGTCTGATTGGCACGTTCCCCCATGCGACCTCTTGGCCGGAGGATCTCAGAAAACATTATCAGCTGATCACCGCTATCACATAACACCGGAAATACCAGTCAACAAATCTGAACTGAAGTATGCAATTTAATCCTTTTATTATAATATCTGGTTATGAACAAATTGTTCATTGTTTATCTGGACATGTTCGCAATATATTTTGTTAATTATATTCAAAAATTCATTCAATAATTATAATTATGTTTACAATAATTTCGGCAAAATCGTAGAAATCGGTAGATCGCAACTCATCGTTATTTAGAGCAACCACGATCAGATTACTGCTATTGACGCAGGTAGATTGTGAGGAAACGTGTGCACAGCTAATTGCTATTTCCGGCTTAGTTTACGAGAAAATATTCACGGTAATCTTAACATATGCATATAAAACAATGCCTTGGAGAACAGGAAATACATACTAAATGGTAAATAATCATGTCTAGTGATGTTTTTTATATCAAATTTTATACTTTTATTGACCAAGTTTGTTTTTTGAATTCACTGAAGGGATATGATGCGTCTTTTTGAAAGCGCATATTAATACCCGACAAATCTTTTTTTACACTATGAATCATAAACAACTTCTATTCTAATCTTTTTGTAAACTCGTGCAACGTAGATCATGTTAGGTAGGCAGAGCATGTATACTGGTTTGATGGTTATCTACCACCTACGACTAGACCTTTGTTAAACCGCTGATCTTCTATAACGCTCATCAATTATTTGGACCCTGAAGGTAGTGTTGTAGCGAGGGATCACTGTACCAATGAGAGCTTCCATTTCGGGAAAGTACGAGGAATATGTACATCTTCCAGGAAAAACGAATGCACAAGCCAATTCAATACTGGATGGTTGCCGACAATAAACTGTCATGGGTCATGTTGGAGAACGGAATGATATGTCTCTATGGTTCTGTGACGAAAATCTTTATCCTGATGGAGATGCAGAAGGAAGTTGGCAACAATGGGGATGCGGACGGTGACAGTGATGTTTTTAATTCCAATTGTCGTCACCACTGGATGAACTTAGTCCATCTGTTGTGATAAAGGCACTGCTGCAGACGCAGATTTAGAAATTTCAGAAGCCTGCATTCTTTGTGTGATATTTTCCAGGCGTGAGATGGAGGCTGGGAGGGTTCTCATGTAAGAGGTCCGACATGTGTTGATGTAGAAGGTCCTTGCGTAATGGTAGGAGAAGAGGATCAGTCATGAGTCGAGCTAATAGTCTGGGGAATCATGGTCTTTTGGGCCAGATTGGGGCATTTATTCATGCCTGTAGAGGTAGTTAACGTAATCAGCCTCTATGGGTCAGATCCTGAAGTGAGTTAAGCCAAGAGGGACATCCACCATCTGATTGTGCGATTCGGCAGGGTCAAAGCCTCGGTGATCATGTGAGTCATAGCCATAAAACTATCTTCTGGGGGACAGAGTAGACCCTCCTGGAGAAGGAAACGTGCACCGATGTAAGATACGTCTTGAATGGGAGTAAGTTCTGATTTGATTGGGTGACTGAGGAATCCGAGTCATGAGTTGAATCAAGAATATTTGGTTCTGTGCCAGGAAATCGTCAAGGTAGCGATGTAGTCAAACAAGATGGAGATGGGCATAGCTGATCACTGGTGCTGTTATACTGGTGAACCATGATGCGATGGAGATTCTGAAGGGGAGCACCTTGAACTCGTAGTGACCTCTGGTTACCATGAATCAGAGGTATTTCCGAGATGAGTGGTGGATAGGAATGTGGAGATGTGAGTCTTGTAGGTTTATGCTGATGGCCTAATCTCCCTGATGCATGGGGGAACACAGTTTCCGGACTGACTGCATCTGGAAATTTGGAAAATGTATGTGATAATCCTTGTTCAAAATCTTGAGATCTATGATAATTCTCATTTCCATGGTATTC